TAAGATATTAAAAAATGAAACTTAAAATTCAATTCTTTTTTTTTTGAGATTAGAAATTTTCTTATTATATTGTTAGCATGTATCATAGGCTAATAAATGATAAATCTCAATGACCCTTTTATAATGTATTATACTAAATAAAAATAAAAATAGAAGAACTAAAATATTATCTTTCATATAAAATTAAACTACTCTACAAAGATAGCATGAACTATGCAGTTTCACTTAAATTTTCAAATATATCAAGTCGAATTCATTCGAAGAACTTGATTAATAGATTTTAAAAGTTACAATTCTAACAATGTTTACATATTCCTTATTGAACCAAGATAATACATTCTTTTTGTTAATCCATATTTTGATGTGTAGTTTCAATTTATTAACTACCGATGGCACGAATTCAGTGTAGTTAATACACACTGATACCAGTGTTCGCTGAAGCACTAGAGCATAATGCTACAAAAAGAATATATTTTTATAAAGTTAGGATCTCAGCATTGCAGCGAACGTGAATTTTAGTGTAGAGATGAAATTAGTCTGGTATTTTTGAAGACCAATACCGGTCTGACCGAGCCGGAGCAGTCAATATATTAATTCAACTGATCTGATCGATTATGCCATTCGGACTGGTCTAAAATTCGGTTTAGTCAAGTTTTGGATTGTGAATAGTTCAACTTGAAAAAGAAAATGAGATAAAAGAAGCCAAACTAATCATATAAAATATAAATGACATTACAATTGTGACCAAATAAGAATTTTGAATGCGTCTTTATAATAAAAGCAAGAAAGTAAATACCATTCCCATCGATATAAACTCCATATCGAGTACATCTTTCCCTGGGTTAATCCTGAATCAGTGACTCACTGTCAGTACTTACACCAATATTACACATCCCTAAATTTATTCTTGTTATTAATAAGAAATTTACAAATTTTCTATAATAATAATACTTAAATATATTTGTTATATTTTCTTTTCTATAGATGAATCATTTACGGGAAATCGATTATCTGCTGTATCAAATAGAATGACATCGGAATTAATTAATAATGTAATAATCTTCGTCTTGTTGTTTTCTAAATCTGATATATAATATATTCTTATTTCTAGTCTAACCCTCTTCCAGTTGTAATTGAAGAAGAGCCAGCCTTCGATTGGGATTCAATAGCATAATCATATCATACAAATTCGATTGTATATAAACGAACATAAGAGCATACGTAATATTTTCGTTTTTTTTTTCTGTTTGTTTTTAAATTAATTTATCAAATTAATTTTTCCGTCCGAAAATAAAACAAATGTAGAAACGCTCAAGAGTATGATGATTAACATAGATTTTATTTGTATACCTTTGTCTAACCAATGCAATAGTTTTTCCTATATTGTACAAAAGAAAACTAACAAAAAAAAAAGAAACAGTATGTTTTGTGTTTTATCATATTCATATTTCATTCATAAGCTATGTTTGTGATTGTGTTGGGTTTTCTTTTTCTATGTACAGTCATCAACCGGTGTGCGCTTATTATAATCATTTGTCGTATTATACGAAAAAAAAAATGTCTGTCTACAGCACCATACATATGTAGATTGTTTTAATCAAAATAAAAAAAAAAGGAAAGAAAAAAAATTCGAAGATTTTTTTATTTAATAAATCGAATAGTAAACAACACCGACGAGTGCTGCAAATACAAAGTATACTCGGCTGTAAATCTTTTTGTTTTTCAGTAATAAATGATGCCTTCTAATGAAAACACGTTGGATCAGGTCATGACAAAAAACATTCGTACAAAACCATTTTAATTCTTAGTATACTACTAGTCATATAGGCTTCGATATACTCAAGACGATCTTGTTAATTTACATACACAAAAAAAACAAGCTCGAAAACGTGCGTATCTGACATCTGTATCAGAGATAGGATCGGTTCGATTTGAATTTTGATAGAAACTCGTTAGTGTAAGCCCTATAGTATTAATATGCGCAACATGATGTTATTGCTGCTGCTAACCACAGAGAGATTGCACTATTCTATCTTTGTTAGGATACATTTTTCACTATTCTTTTATTTAATCCTCCGAAAATGGAATAAGAAAGTGGTTCATATATGTAATAACGAGACTTTATTATTGTATGGCCTTTGATTGTATATCAATGTCTACTACGGCCTGTGGAAGGAGATACAAACCGATTTCATCCGTGATATGTAAGAAAGGAAACTGCACCTATTCTTTTTCTTTCAATGCTTCTTATTATTCGACAAAAGTATTGAAAAATTCGAATAGTTGAAATATCAATCAATTTTGCTTTCGAACAGTATATAGTATATTTAATTTATCATTATTTGTTACCGTTTTTCTTTATTCAATCTTATCTAGAGTCAATTAAGCAACCATTGTGTAGTCCTGGATGACTTGTAGTTTATCACAATGAATAAAAGCAAAAATCTGCTTATGTTGTTAATCATTCGTACGTATAAATTTTGTTCACATTTATCTTTAGACAATTAATCAAGATCAAATAATGTAAGAACAAGTTGTCAATTCTTTTAATATTTAATAGTTTCTAATCAAATGAAATTTTTTGTACGTAAATATTCCTTAAAATATTTTTTAATTATCTAACCATAAAAAATTTTATATAGATTATGTCAGAAGTCAAGCATTGTCAATCAAAAGTTTATTACATCAGCTAAGACAAAGGTTTAAATTTGTCATTCTTGGATTAAAATTCTTTTAACAACTGAATATCACTCCCTAGAATATGTACTTGAATTTGAGGCTTTAATGAACCATAAAATAATAATGTAACAATTAGTATATCTTAATTTAATTACATACGTAATTTGAAATATTTTTTTCGTAACAAATAAATGATTAAACGGCCGTTGATGTTGCGTCAAAACTGGTCTCAGATGTTCCTCTGGTAATTATTTTTAATTAACTATACGAACCTATGACGTAAAATATCTATTTAAAGAAATAATAGTCTACATAGCAAAAAGGAATTTATCCATCAAGAGATTTTCATCATCACTTGACTTCGAAAAAAAGAATTAATTATCGTTATTAGTCATGTTTGTGCCCTACACAGGTACAAGTTTTCGTAACCAGACCTTAACCGACTCTTATTTTCTTTAATATTCGAACCTAGATAGCTGTACTCGATACATGATCGGAACTAATCGAAATCCGGTAGATACTTTCACGCCCATAGTACGGTTTTCAAACTTTTATTTTATATGAAAAAGTATACTGTTTAGTCTTTTTCATAAACAGCAACAAAGAAAAGTGCAAATGATCCAAGATTTACTTAATTTCTTTCAACCTTCAAATTGTGATTATATCCATGAATGCTTTATTCCTGACAGTAATATATGTTCACCTGTTAGATAATTCATTTTCCACTCAATGTATTCAGTTACTTTTTCACATGGTTCATTAATGTCTCTAGATGAATTTTTCTAGTAAAACAATATTGCTTTCCACTTCTGTGACTTGTTCTCAAGTGCAATAAATTATTCGGTCATGATCGAACCGGTTTTCACTTCTATGCATTTATATAAATTAGTCGTTTGAAAAAATTAAAAACATTTTAAAACGTCGAGGTAAAAAACACTGTCAGTTAGACTCCAGGCATACAATCATATTCAGGACCCGAAACAATGTTTTTATTTTTTTATGTCCACCACTTGAACTGATCCGGCTAGTTTATATCAGGGTCCATGCTACGGAATGAGCAGGATATCTAACCCAGTTGTAAGATGTTAATTCATGTAGACAAGTAATTATCAAAATCTGTTTGCTTCTCGTAACGAATAATGTCAGAGGAAAACCTAAATGACATTTATGACATTAAAAAATAACCTAGAGTCTTATTTCTAACAAATAATAATAATAATGAAATGATTTTTTTTTAGTCCTAAAACAAAAAGAAAAAGCTTATCTTTCATTGCGTTAATTGTTTTTAAAAGAACATCTATAATAATCATCTTTTCTTTTATACAAGATAATACATTATTACCCATAAGAATAAGCTCATCAAGATTATAAATAAAATAAATTGATCAGAATATTATATTCAGTTAAATGTAAGAAAACAATAAGCTGTAAAATAATGAATGAACCATAATAAATTAAAAAGATTCATACCGACATAATCATTCAACTGCAACGGGTAATAAAAACGAAAAAAAAAATGAAGAATATTTTTAAATAATGGTCTAGCTAAAATTTAAACTATACTAAAAAATTCTCCTTAAAATTCTGTATCTTTGATTGCATGTTCCAAAATTTAAAAAAAAATATTTAAGAGAAGCATTTTTGAAGAAAAATATGTGCAAACAACGAAAAAGGCTTTTTCTGATAAACATGAACTACTGTTCTTTGTTTTAATTCGAAATAACCTGAGTTTTTTCACTGTTCAATTTAACAGTTACATTATTTTGTTCAGAATTGAATTCTACATCCGGTAGCATAATAATAAATTTTTCATTGAGCAAATTTGGCTTTTTAACAACATGATTTTCTAAAATATATTCTAAATCAATGACAGGTGTCTTTTTCTCCTGAGTAACATGATTACGTAGGCGTGAATCTTTTTAATTCGGCACCGACAAGAAAAGCATATTTAAAAAACAAAGTAGACAGCTTTGTAGGGCTTGAAATTCTCTATCTTTTAATATAAAAATCAATATATTTCCTGAATAGGAAATGAACGAAAAAAAGCAAAAATATTTAATGGAATTTACTATGGTCCACCCGTTATATAATAGATATCTATGTATTTGAAAAGTGACAAAGTATTTTATATGTATATATATATGGAATTAAATATTTTACCATATATTTTATATTATTTATTAATTAGAATTTCAGCAAAAATGACTTGTTAATGACGACATGAAACTCTTTTTTTCTGTTCATAGTGAAAGCTATTTCAAGCATTAAAGACAAACACAAACAATAAGAAAAGCAATAGTCATCTGATATAATGATTGAATTTATTTGTTGAGCATTTGAAAATACACTCTTAAAAAGCAACCTTTGTCAGTTTGTCGTGAATATTCTTGACCATAAATTTTATCAATCTAATTAAAATATATGTATATGAAGATAATAATAAAAAAATTTCTATTTTCCTTTTACCTGTTCGATTGACATACGAGTACAGCTGTTAGCACATTCGCATACTGGACCGCAACCATCGAATGATTTTTTCTTACGCTAGACAAAAACAATTGAAAATATTTTGTAATACAAAAACAAAAAACAAAACTTACAAAAGCTGCTGGATAATCTTCAATACATGTATCACAAGCTTCAAGGCAAGCAAAATCATCAGGTAGTTTAATAGATGAATCAATCGATATTGATTCAGTCGCTGCTGCTACATATGATAATGGATACTGTTGTTTCTCATCATCTGTACTATGAATTGCACTTTTTTTATTATTAACAATTTTTTTCAAAGTATTTTGAAGTGTAAGTTGATTTTCATTGATTTGAGGAATTCTTTTGAAATGATAATTATGAAATTTAGCATCGTCATTGTTAAAAGCCGCGCCCAAAACGACGAGTACGGAAAGTGAGACGAAGATGAAACTAACCATATTTGCTTTTAATAATTCTATTCTAAAATTAAATAAGAAATCACAATTAAAATTAACGTGTTTTTTTTTTTCTTATTGACTTTTCTACTAAATTTATTCATTTGTATTTATAAAAACAAAAGTGCCGCTAGTCAAAACTAAAAAGTGAAAAGACCATATAGACAATGTAGTTTATACTTATTTAGTAGTAAAAATGATAATTCTTTTAATCTAAAACATTAATTGTATTTCCATATTTACTTTTTTATACATACAAATTTTATAAAAAATAAAAAAATAAATGTCCTGCATTGTACGCATCTCGTTCCATACTTTTTCAGTTGCTCGGGGAATAGATGGGTCAATTTCTTCTGTCTGATATATATATATATCCTATTAATTAAAAACATAATAGATGTTTGAGAAAAATATCGGAACTATGATAAACTCGGATCAGTTTTCTTTTGTCGAAAAAGTTACTTGATGATAAGTTCAAGAATTCAACTTAAGATAAACTTACTAGAAGTATTCTGCATGGACTGTTCAACAATCATATCATTTCACTATATATGAGATGTCGAAAAAAGTAAAAGAAGGAAATCTAAGGGTAAACAGAAGGGAAAAGCTATGCAGCATGAATACAAAATTTTTTCCTTTTCTTGTCGAAAGATAACCACCACTTTATATTCGATTTCATAGAAGAATTAACACTAGATCGTGATTTTAAATTTTTGTGAAAGTTCATTATGAAACTAATCTGCATTATTTTTATAGATTCTCAAACGTTTACTTGACTTTTAAACAGTGCGTACTACTCACGGAAAAGTTTTTTCAGTAAAACCGCGGTATTGTGAATCACAATTAGTCGCAGTTTCAGAAATCGCGGCGTAACCAATAATAATCGTGATCCGAAAGAATCACGTCGTATCCTGTCTAGAGAAAGTCTCGGGAGTGAGACCGTTTATTCGGTTTATTGAAACTGCATCTCTTGAAAAGACGAATAAACGGTGTAACTCTCGCGACCTAAAAAACGCGATTTTTTCGCAATTTTTTTCCCGTGGGTAATAAGAAATGAAACAATTTTGTATCCTAACTCTTACAATTAGCTTGTATAAGGATGCGTCGGAGCCATCTAATAATTAAATACGAAAATATCTCAGGCTGACGATTAACATAAATTGAAATATTTTATCTCCTCTTGTTATTGCTCAAATAAAAAAAATGCGAACGGCAACAAATAAGTATTGTTATACTCTTTTTAACCATTTGTATATCCACTCATGTTAATCAGCAGAGAGGAAAGGAAAGATTACATGAGATTTGAATAGGTCTATAGATAAAAATATGGGATGATAATAAAGTTGAAATGAGCTTTAAAAAAGAGAAATATGTCGTATTCCTTCTTTCTCATTTTTTTTTCTTTATTAATGAGGATAGATTAAAAAAATAGGATAGACACTTGTTGATTCAAAGAACTAGAAAAAAAAGATAGAATAAAAAAAAAAACAATAGATAGATATACAGGTTTGCGTTAGTCAAATGTAAAAGGTTTCATACGTACAAAAATATTCGTTTGTTTCTGAACCAATTAAAATCAAATTACATATCGAATGAATGAATTTATTTTTATATGTCACAAAAATTACACTGAACAAGTTTGCGATAAACTACCAATATCTTAATATCTTTTTACTTATTTCTCAAAATCAGCATTATTGAACGTAATAAAATAATTATGTTCCATAAAATGTATTTCATCATATATGATAATATTTAATCATTTAGAAATACATCTTAAAAAGATGTATTATATTATCTTTCAAAAATTCTATTATTTCTATTCATTAATATGAATATTCTTTATTATTCATTTAAAAATTTTTTTATTTACAAAAAAATTCATAATATATATAGATTATGTCAATGGATCAATTAACAGTTCTATTTTCAAATGTCATAGAATTTTTTATTTTATAATTTTTTGCGTGAATGTATAACTAGAACATTTTTATATATCAACATGAACAGTTCTCGATCACGTACATGTATGTCGAGGATTCAAAGTTAAAGTTGAAGAAAATTGAGTCTATCATTGAAAAAAGAACGATCAACAGTATTTGAAATGAAACTGTTTCTACTCCTGAACAGTATAGAGCGTTCTGAGAACACATGACATCTTTTTTAGAATGATTAACTTGAAAATTTATGTAAAAGATAATAGGGGAACAAATTGTCAAACAAAGATCAATTAGCAGAAAAAAGTTCTTCAATTAGTTATTAAATCAATCGAATACGAAACAACATAATGTGTTCAAAAGTCATTTATATTGTTGATGAAAAGATCTGATAAAAAATCACCAATTTTTCCACACTCGAGACACATTGTAAAAAGGAAAGAACCTTACTAGTATACAACTATCTTGATGTCGATTCCTTAAGATCTCATCCTTTTTGTGAACAAAGATTTTTAGAAATATCAGAATCTGTGGTAGTCTTCTTCAAAGAAACAGACAATGAAGTTTAGATGATGTATCGTATTTCAATAGAAATCAATTAGATTCAGAATAGATTTATTATCTCGTAGTCTTATCTTAATTCGAACAAATGGAGATACTAATCAAAACATAGATGGTAAATTTTTTATAAAAACTCAGATGTATTTAATCGTTCTTTTGTAACAATCAAATTAGAATAACCATAAGACGTCGTATGAAAACTAGAGTCGCCTATTCAGGTTCTATTTTCAAAATATGACGTGAAACCAAAATTATTAAATCATGAGATAGATAAGGAAATTTCAAATATATTTTAAGAAAAGTTCACTATTGAATTGTTGACAGTAAAGACGTCACGAATTTCAGGACTGGAACAAAACAATATTATACATTTTAATCTCAACAATGAGAAATCGAAGACGCTTCGACGTAGATTTAAGAATTTTTGTATCTATCTGATGATTTAACAGTTTTGATTTCAATATTTTTTAATCGCCGAACTCTAATAAAAACTAGATATAGTAGAAAAGGAATCATTCATAGTCAATGTGGTTCACTATTGCGTTCTATTGTTCATATGCATTCTTTTTTTCTAGTGACTGAAGAAATCACTTGAAATAATCCCCAAAAACAACGTAAATCAAAATCCGCTACTGTCAATATGAACTTGAATGCATTGCATCGATAGTGGTGGATTTTTGTTCACTTGGTTTTCATACGAGGTCTTATGGTATTGTAACTTGACTGTTACAACAGAACGATTAAATAAATCTGAGTCTTTTTTTATGATGCCGTATATGTTTTGGTTAGTATCTCGATTTGTTAGAATTAAGATAAAACTACGAGATAATAAATCTATTCTGAATGCAATTGATCTTTATTGAAATACTATACTTCATCTAAACTTTAATATTCGCAATCATTCTCTAGAAAAACTTCGTTACGGAATTTCATTAGTATCTAAATTTTGAGATTTTTTTAGACGATTAAACATTTTTCCCTATTTTTGTTTATAACTATTCATATTTTTGAAATTGGAATTGAATTTTGAACCAAAGGGAGTATTTAATTCATCAAAACTTCAACTTTTTTTTTTCTCAAAAATTTCTCGGATCGAACAATTTTCGTTGAATCCTAGTGAAAAGTAGACTATTTGATACATTATTCGATGCTAGTGACGAATGTTTAATTCCTTTTTTGCTTTCATCCTAATTCGAACTGTGATTTTCGATAAAACGATGAAATTTCGTGATGTTTACATAAAGTTTTTTGTTTACTGTTGACTTGCTGGAAAGAATTTCTGACAAGTCAACAGCTACGAGTTTCTACTCTTTTCATGTATGAACTTAAATATTTTGTCTCAGTTTTTGTTTGAGACTAGTGAAACAACCTTTGAAAAACTTTAAAAATTAGTTCGGACAAAACATTTTTGCATTTTCACTATTACAATTTGAGACTTAAAGTTAAAATCTTTATTTATCTATCAGCTTCTAGATCAGAAGCTACTCTATGGTATGCACTAGTTTAAGTGTCTTGTGTTTTTTAATCGGGCACCTCAATTATTGTTTTTCTTTAATACTTTTCTTTTAAAAAGTGATAATCGTTTTACGTTGAAAGTAGTTCTTGAAAAATACTTGAGTAAAAGCTACAGCTTAGTTCATCATCACATTTTGTAGATAAGTGTCTGTTATAAGAAACAACCGAGTTCAACAATTTTTAGCATCTTCGAAAAAGGACTTATAGGGTAAATAAAAATCTGCTGACTCACCATATGATGTCATAATCCCACTGGTAATTTATTTCTATATATATCTTTATATTCAATGTCTCTTTGCAACAATGTAACAAATATATATATATATATATATATATATGGTAAATGACGTGTGGGGAAAATGCTATAGATTACGAAGAAGAAAGAAAGATCCGTAAAACAAAGATAAAGAGACAAAATCAGATGGACAGGCAAATGTCCATCATATATACATATATGAGAGAAAAGGCAAATCTATGATACATGATTCACAACAGGATAACCGAAATAGAACCTAAATGCATAGATAAACTCATATAGATAGTAAGAAAACTCTTACGATTTCATCTGAACACGACACATGTCATAATACACTATTACAAATAGCTTTTTTGTATATATCAATGAGATCGAAAGAAAAAATGGCGAAAAAGAATGTCACAAATGTTCCAGATGTCATTAAGCGACTCTGTTAGGAGTAGTATGTGAGTGTGGGTGTAGGTATAAGTGTAAAGAGAAGATTGATATCCATATGCACACCTTACACGGACACCTACGATTATGCACTAAAAGAAGCGTATTGTCGTGTCGTTAATTTTGTTCTTGAATATTTTTCATACACTATTAACTCTTGTTGATGTATTTAGAATTCTCTCACTCTTTTCTATGGATAAAAATATCTTCATCTCGCTGGTCAAAAATCTATAAATAAACTTTGTTCGCTACTGTTTTCTTTGACGTTTTTTTCTTTCAGCCAAGTTAATGCCATTCAATATTTCAGATCTTTCAAAAAGTTCCACACTACTCCAAAATAAAAAATTGCTACGCTCATATTCAAATCCTGGTCGCAACCTATAGTTTTTAGCATACTAAAATGAACGAAGGTGTTCACTGGAAATGTCGATCTACAAACTCCATCCAAACTATTTTTTTTGACTTTTTACAGATTATTTCACTACTCTCGAACAAAAAATGAGACAAAATTTCTAAGACTAAATTCGAAAAGAGAACAAAATCCTCGTCCTTACTCATAGCTTTTGATGTTTTCTAACGGATTCATTGTGAGTAAACATCTTGTCTAAAAACATTCCAATCACTCGTTACATGCTTTGATTTCCAAAAATTTACAATCTGCAATGAACAACTCTGTTTTTTTTCAATATAATTAGTATTTTTTTTTATAAAATAGCATCATGTCAAACTGTTGTATTTTGCGCATTGAAAGTAAAAAAGGCGATATTTATAAATGCATGAGATTATTTAAGAAACAATGGAAATGATTACAATGCAGCACTTTAGAAAAAAAGTGTTTATGTGTGCGCGCGCTGGAATAAATAAAAACGGTGGATTTCTTTTTACTTGAGTACAAAAAAAGAAATCTTACAAGCGAAACAACAATAAGAAAAAAAGAAATGTTGAAGGGACGGAAGAGATTTTCTTTGAATCTGCACAAAAATGTGATAAAAAGAAAAGATAAGAAAAAACAATTTAAAAACTTGAAGTTTTCTCAATACAAACCATATAAAAATAAAAGTGAAAAAAGTCACTTTAAAGACAGCTGTCCTAAATGTGTTTGTCGACAAAACATTACTTGAAAATGGAACTCATAGTCGTAATAAAAAAAAAAAAGAAAAAAATCTATAAAATGATCCAAATTTTCTCTCTTCACATACTCTTAAAAGCACGATCTGTTCTTTTTTTCTTATTCAGGAATAGCACAACATACGATTCTCATTCGTCCAGTGCTACCTGGCATTGGTCCTAATTGCCCAATGCCCATTTGAGGGAAGCTACCTGCTTGTGGAAAAGCAGCTGCTTGAGGAAAACCACTGTATTGCGGATAGACACTTCCTACATTGTAGCCAGCTCCTGGATAATTACCGTAGGGTTGTTGTGAAAAAGCACCAAAAGGTTGTTGTGAAGAAAAAGCTCCATATGGTTGTTGTGAATAAATACTACCGAGTTGCGGTAGAGCTTGAGGAAAGCCACCGAATCCTCCAAAACCTTGGTTACCGTAATTTGCAAGTCCAGATTGACCAAATCCATTAAAAGTTCCGAACGGATTACTACTAGCATCTTTATAAAAGAAATAGAAAAAAAAAGATAAATTTAAAAAGGAATATAGCAATTCAGTTTTAATTACTTGATAGTCCGCCATATCCACTTAATCCAGCAAATTGTGACAATTCTTGACCGAAACCTGAATTAATTTAAATTGAATATAATTATATTTGTATTTATAGAAGATTCTAATCAATATATATATACCTCCATATGATGACAATCCTCCGAAGGCACTCATCACAGATGATGGACTAATTGATTGTTGTGGCATAATAGGCATTTGAGGTGGACCTATTGGTTGTTGAGGAGGCATGATAGCCATTGGAGATGGATATGACATTTGTTGAGGAACTATTTGAGGGATTTGTGGAGAAAATGCTAAAATAAATCGAACGATATGATGAGAATTTCGATAAATTTATTTTCAGCTAGAATGGATGGTTTAAAAATGAATACTAATTATGTATAATGAGGGAAAACAGCGAAAAATCATACGTATTAGTATTCACTGAGGAATAATTAGTATAGATTATGCAAAAAATATTTGATGTATAATTTGCGAGCATGCTAGAGAAAAATTAAAGTGTCGTAATAGCAGGTTGCATATTAGTGTTAATTGTATTATTATTATTATTATTATTGAGTTCTACATATTAGTTACTTCAAAATATGAAAGACTTAATAGTAAGTCTTAATGAAAAATCTTACGCATTGATGATAAAGCCATTGGCAATTGAGGCATCATCGGTTGGGCCATTTGAAGAGGACCGGGCATGAAAGATTGCATTTGTGAACCTATCGATGGTAATTGCATCGACATTGAACAACAGTTTGAACTCATTTGAGGTATTGACATTTGTGGTATTAATGATGGTGGAGCGCAAGGCATTTGAGGCATCATCGGTGGTGCAGCGATTGGCAGTTGAGGCATCATTGGTGGTGGACCAATTGGCATTTGGGGCATCATTGGTGGTGGCGCACAAGGCATTTGAGACATCATTGGTGGCTGTGGTGCATAAGACATCTGAGGCATCATCGGTGGTGGTGCACAAGGTATCTGAGGCATCATTGGTGATGAAGGAATTGGCATTTGGGGCATCATTGGTGGCGCAAAAGACATTTGTGGCATCATTGGTTGTTGAGCAAAAGGCATTTGAGGCATCATTGTTGGTGAAGCGATTGGCATTTGAGGCATCATTGGTGGCGCAAAAGACATTTGTGGCATCATTGGTTGTTGAGCAAAAGGCATTTGAGGCATCATTGGTTGTGGAGCATAAGGCATTTGAGGCATCATTTGTGATCCACCATATCTTGCCATACCACCTTGTTGAAGTAAATTTTGCAATGCGTCTAGTACATGATTAGGGACAAAAATTTGGCGCATTTTAGATCCACCAAAACTCGGCTGAATCATCGAATTGTAATATACTGCACAGGAATTGCCGTATGCTCCAAGACCACCCAGAGGAGAATTAAACGGCATAGCGAATGGTTGATAGGCACTACCTATACCAAATAGGTACTCTCCTCCAATTGGTTGATAATTTGAACTGTAGTTTTCCATCTCCCCATAACCGTAATAAGGATTATAACCCCCGCCATATTTAGCGAGTTCCGATCCTTTAAAACGATTATTACGATTACCCATTGAAAATATTTATGAATTCGTATAAGTGATGTGTGTATGTGTAAGTATATGTAGGTGTATGAAGACGAAACAAGGGAAAATGTTTCAATAAATAATACTATATAATTGAGATACTGTAACTTCTTCAAAGATAACTATTTATACAGTTTGACTGTCTCAGATTTTGGTTAGAGGGGGAGAGGGTGCGATGTTAGACGCAGATAGCGGCTATATCTATAAAAATGATTGCAACATTACACATGTACACATAAATACTCTCTCTCTCCCTCCCTTTCTCTGATCAATCGACCGCAGCAGAATTGTTAATGTTAAACGAGAGAAAGAAAAAGAAATATTACTTGAACATTACAATGATACATATTTCCTTCTGCAACATTTTTTGTCTAAGGACAATTTTTCATTTTTTCATTTTTTTTTATCATGTCTCTTTCATTCTCATTCTTTTTTTACTCATATGATTTAATTGCATTTTTTGCTGAGTCTCTTCGTAGTCATCAACAATGACCTCACATATTTAAAATGCCGTGATTGTAATGAAAGACCTTGTATTTAGTTTTTATGTTCACTATTTGAATTGAATGAGAATGAGTAGAATCAATCTACACATACTATTCTTATTGTAACAACGATAATGAATAGTGAGGTGACAATTACATCGTCGAGCAACCAACAGACTAACTTGTTACACGCTTGTTAGGAGTGTGGAAATTATTTCTGCTTCTTTTTTTCTTGCATACTTGAACGGAAGGTTCTTTGATATAAGTGTAAAAATGAGTAAGATCGCTTCATCAACAATGTCTGATTGCTGGAACACATTTGATAACATTCACAGATTCTCATCATCTTTTAACACATATACAGCGTGTCCAAGAAGTCCGCCGTGAAAAAACAAAGATGGGTATCTTTTAAATAGTTGAAGTGATTTATATATTTAGTTTTCAATGTTATAGTATGTTCGTTAAAGGGTTAGTTTATGTAATTTGGTTCATAATAAATATTCAAAATGATTACCATCATTCAAAATATTTAAAATCGTCCTTTCCGAAACATAGTTTATTTTTATTTTCGTTATTTATTCTCATTTTGAATTCAACTAGATTTTCATACATGTCTTGCTACGACTTGTTTTTACTTTATATTCATCTATAAACTAGTTATATGAAAAGCACCTTCCGCCAGTTACAAACAAAACGAGTTCTTCTGATTATCAATGTTCTGTAACATTGATATTAAACTTTGATAGCTTCAACTTGCAATTATATCTCGTATGATTTAATTGAAAGATATTCAGTCATTATTCGATATGTTGTTGTTCACAGAACGAAACAGAATGTTGAAACAACTCAAATATGTAGTAGTGACCCATTTATATAAACATTATGAACTTAATTAATTTTATTCTTCTATAATTTTTAAAAGTATTTCATATTTTTGTAGATTTCCCACTGCACTAGTTTTGCAAAGTGATTGAAATGCATCTCGAACACAATCTACATTTAGCAGTTGTATGTTATATTCGACTTGGCATTTTTCGTTTTCAAACGATAAATGCCTCAAACTTGACCATGAATAAAATTCTCTGTAGTTTAATATCAGTTGACATAGAAATTTATCAATAAAAATGAATAGAACAAAATTTCAAAGAACACATAATCATAACGTTGAAAAAAATAATATAAATCACTTAACGTAACTAAACCATATTTGTGCTTTTTTTTAATGACGTACTTTTGAGACACCTTATAGAAAATGAAAAAAAAACAAATTTTTATTAAAAGAAGAACAATACATATAATCGCTGGCATGTATATTTGATAAAATAATCTTGATTATTGAATTGAAGTTAGTGAGAATGTTAGTACATTTCAATCATAATTTATTCTTGTTCACATTATTTTTTGCAACATTATTAAATATTATTGATATAGAAAAATTGCATTGTTTATTTTTTTGTCAAATTAAACTTCTACCGTGCATCCTGGATATTGATTAAAAACAAACTTATGTTATATTTCGTCTTCCAATCAAAGATATCATCGCAACAATTCACATTCATTGTCTTTCTCTATACAAATATTTTGAAACATTTGTATATCATTCTTTATATGTTATTTTGTTTTGTTAAAAACATTGTGTCAAAATACAGTAATAAATTGAATAATTATCTGAATCATGATTATTCATTTCATATAAAATATTAACAAACTATAGGTTAGTTGTGCATATCATAAATCTTTAGTGACAAACAGGTATCTATTAATCAACCACTACCTGTCTATCATCATAATGTGTCTAAGAGAAACATACTAATCAGAATGACAATCATCAAAACCGCACAATCATCTAGTTTCTCATTATTTTAACTGAAACACATGACAAGAAGAGAGAGAAAAGAGACTGTCGTCACTATAATAATTAGCAAGTTTTTTTTTCACATTTGTATAAGAAAACTATTGCGCTTAGATTGCATTTCTACTGCAATATTACGTATATAGATAGATGCATACGAGTGAAAGAGAAAGATAAAAAGAGAGAGAGATTGACTTTGATTGGATGTAAATATATTTTTTATTTGATTTTTCTCGTCTAGAAAAAATCGTAAATAAATGCAACAATATGACCAACACACACAAAAATATATAAAAAAGAATTTAGAAAAAGAAAAATAAGAAAAGATTCCACTGATAACACACTAAATCTGAGATGAAATATGAGCATAAAATGCTTGATAAAACATCAATAAGCATTCTAATTTAATGTTCAGATAAATAACGTTTTCTAATGATATTGAACAAGTTTGCTTGTTCATTTAATTGTGTGTGTGTAGGTGTGTGTCGATTGTTATTTGTTTCTTGTTTGTTTAATTAAAAAAGAAATATGTTGCTTTGATTTGGACTATTATTAAATGACAAATTTTTTGCGGTGTTTTATGAGCCCAGATGCACAAAAGAAAAAAGAAAGCAATATGTCTCTACACAGCAATGGGAAAAAAAGAAAAAAAAGAAAACAAGAGTCTAACTGATGATTTAAATAGTACTTTTATTGTGGAGCTGGAAAGCAACAGCAAATCATGCGACCACCAGCACCTGGTGTGGGAAACTGAGCTTGTTGAAATCCACCGATTTGTTGTGGCTGTGGAAATTGAACCGGCATTTGTGGCTGTGGAAATTGAGCCGGCATTTGTGGAACGTGTAAATGTTGTTCGTAAGGAGCAAGACTGGTACCAGATTGAAACACTGGTGGTGAAGGTGAAAAAAATTGTTGTTGAGGCATTGGCTGTTGTACAGGAACTGGTTGGGGTACAGGAACAGGAACAGGAAATGGTTGAGGAACAGGTACTGGTTGAGGAACAGGCACAGGCACAGGATCTATAAAATAGGAAAACAAAAAGATTTGCTTGCATGGTTATATTTTGTACAAAAATGAAAATTCTTACATGGCTGAGGAACTGGAACTGGAACTGGAACTGGAACTGGAACAGGAACAGGAACGGGTTGAGGTACTGGTTGAGGCATTGCTTGTGGTATGGGTGCTGCTTGTAATTGTTGGTAAGGTTGCATCATTGGTGCACCAACTGCTTGTAATGAGCGCATCATACCCACTAAAATAAGATTTTAAACAGAAATAGAGGTAAATTTTAAAAATTAATAATAATTAAGAGCAATTTAGAAGCTAATCACACATACTGGGAGCGCCAGTAATTGGACAGTTAGCTGGGAGTCCACCTCCAAATGATGATCCACCGAATCCGGCACCAAATGATGGCATACCAGCAAATCCACCAGCCAAGGCTACACACGACAAAAAACCATATAAACAATTTATGCATGAAATTTACAAATATACTTACAACCACCGCCATACGAAGCCAAACCACCAAAACCACCACCCTCAGAATGTTCACAAATCAAGAAGTCAGTCACGCATCATTGATTGCAATACAAATCAATATATGTAAGATACGCGCACGTTAGCGTCATCAGATGACAATCAAATTCATTTTTACTTTAAATAAATGTCTATGAAGAAAATGAACGACCCATCATTGGTAAAGCGCCTCCAAAACCTAAAAGCAAGAGTAAAAATGTATTTTCATTTCGATTTAAGAGAAAGAACTTACCACCGCTAAACCCACCAGCAGGAAGACCACCCCCAAATGAAGCACCACCGCCAAATGGCATGCCACCACCAAATGAGGCACCACCACCAAATGGCATACCACCACCAAATGAAGCACCACCGCCAAATGGCATGCCACCACCAAATGAGGCACCACCACCAAATGGCATACCACCACCAAATGAAGCACCACCGCCAAATGGCATACCACCACCAAATGAAGCACCACCACCGTAGTTGGCAAGACCTAAAAGTTTAAAAAAAAAGATATATTGATAACAAATATTCACAAATTGACTGGAAACCTACCGCCACCAAAGCCACCCATTGGCATAGGTGCACACATTGGTGGAGCCATTGGCATTGGTGCAGGCATTGGCATTGGCATAGGCATTGGTGGAGCCATTGGCATTGGCATAGGCATTGGTGGAGCCATTGGCATTGGCATTGGCATAGGCATTGGTGCAGGCATTGGTGCACACATTGGTGGAGCCATTGGCATTGGCATAGGCATTGGCATAGGCATTGGTGCAGGCATTGGTGCACACATTGGTGGAGCCATTGGCATTGGCATAGGCATTGGCATTGGCATTGGCATTGGCATTGGCATTGGCATTGGCATTGGCATTGGCATAGGCATTGGTGCAGGCATTGGTGCACAAATTGGCATTGGCATTGGCATTGGTGGAGGGGCACTAGAAAACGAGAAAAGAGATAATATTTCTGATAAGTAGTTGATTAGTATAAGACTAAGAAACTTACGAAACTCCACCTTGAGGAATAAAAATTACACGAACTTTAGGAGGAAGACCACCGCCGAAAGGAAGACCACCACCGAGAGGAAGACCACCACCATAAGGAAGACCTACTCCGGGCATCTGTCCCATGTGACCTCTAGGAAAAGGAGCTGTTGTTGTCATGTATGGTGATGAATATCTACCAGTGGGATAACCACCATCTAAACAAATATTATGTATCTGTGAGTATGATGCATATGCTACAAAAAAAAAGGATCAAATGCTTACAACTAGGATACGGATCATAAGCGCCTCCATAAGTGCCCATTCCATAGTTTGGATCATATGGTTCACCGTAACCGGCAAGACCGCCGGATGGATAACGAGGTTGTCGATTTCCCATTTCTTGTTAAATGTTGATATGTAACTAATCTATTACCTAAAGCTAATACAGAAAACTTCATATGGGAAATAGAAAATAAAAACTACAGCTTTAATCTATTATAGAAAAATGAGCTAAAATGCAGCTCATCATTTTGCTCTCACACACATTACCTACTCTTCTTCAACTGATGACGGTGGTTGTCGATCTAAAGTAATCGGTCTAATACAAATGTGTCTGATTTTATAGGTAAGCGATTTCACTTTGCTTCGTAGTTAACAACAGAAAGAAAAAGGAGAAAAAAATAGAAAAAAAATGAGAGAAGAGGAAATATTTTTCAGTCAAAAAAAAACTTGCCGAGACGTTCGTCCCTAATTTTGAGGACGACTCTCGCACAATACAATTGGTTTATCATATCTGTCTCTGAATCGTCCATGTATCAATCAATGACGCGTAAACGAGAAGGTTGCCGACGATGGCCGTGGCATATTAAAAAAAAAATGAAAAATGTTTTTTCATCAACCACGGCCGTTTTGTCTGTAGAAGAGAGAGAGAGAGACGAAAATGAATCTATTTACCACACGAATATTCATGGCCAAAAAACCGCGTATAATTTACCTGTGCGTAGTCGCTACTGTCAAAAAGAATGTATGGTTAAAATCAGACCACACATATACATATGCATAAATGCATGCAAAAATAAATATAAATTAATCAAAAGGCGAAAAAATGACAAGTTATCATTTATTCGACATGTACATGTATTTTTTTGATAACCTTGTCGTTGTTGATGAGTTGAAAAGAGTGCTCGTCTTTATATGAAAGATAGTGAGAAAAAAAGAGACAGTAAAGAATTGACGTTTTTTGTAATCAATTTTATTCATCATCATTTTTTTGTATAGTTTCGCTTGGTACCTAACTAAAATAACAATTTCTTGTGACTTCAAGGTGGCAACAACAGCATAAATTGATCAACAGACACCATTCGAACTGATATATAAATTCAGTAGTCTGTATTTTACAAAAAAAATTGTAATGAGCATGAGAAGGAGAATTACTTTCTATAGATGATATCACCGTAAATATATGTAATATGATGTTTTTGATGTATTTTTCAAGGAGACAAGTCATAGTGAATAATAAAATTTTTTTTATTTTCATTTTAATAATACTTATCCTAACACATAATTAGAATTTTGTTTTGCACATAGATGAAATTTTTTTCACCTATCAAACATTTTTGAAGATTCTATATTAAAATAAATTAATTCTCTATTATAGAAAAAAGCATAATAACAATATTGAAAAATGAACGATATATACATATATATGTATAAGTTATCAATATACTTTACTCATCATTTAGCATCATGATTAGAATACATCTTTCTATTCTCAATGTAGAAAACAAAAAAAAACATTTTTTTTTGTAAAGTTATTGTGTATAGTTTGCATCACACAGAAAATGAGATCCTGTTTTGATTTTCTGGGTATTATATATATATACACTGGTTATCAATGTTGTCCTTTATAATAGGTTTCATAGTGAGTCTATGAATACTTTTCTTGTCTATTGTTTCATTTGTTTTTTTTTTCTTCTTTTTCATTTATATCTTAATACCAATCACAAAGCAACAACTTCATATTCAATAATATTATCAATAAATCAGCAGCAAATTATCTTTTGTATTGTAAATGCTTATCATAAATAATCAAAAGGAACATGAAGGTAACTTCATGCTTGATTGCTTCACACCGCAATAGTTGTATGAGTATGTGTCATATAACTGCTTCTTATCATCATTGATTTTAACCTTGGTTGAGCAACTTTAAATTTATGCCAATCTAGGTCTCTCTTTCTCTCTCTTCCTCTATAGATATATATATATATATTTTGCTTGATATCGAAAAAACATATTGAATCAAATATTCATTTTGTTCACTGTTAGATATTAGCGTGTATATAGGAATCCTCACTTTTTTCTGTTTGTTTTTATCTATTGCATAATTGTGTGATGATTTATTATCTATAATATGACTATTTGTCTTTTATCATCATTTATGACATTTGTTTTTCTTATTGTCAGATACAATAATCGTTGACAGGTCAATTGTCATTATTAATCAATCGAAATCACTTAAAGGTTTGTTTAGATTCATACGATAAAACTGTTTTTCTTTTATTTTGCACTAGAAAAGAAAATCTTTTTCTTTTTTGTCTGAAATAGAATGGGTAACCAAGCAAGTCAACGAAATCAATCTAATATGCATAAAAATGGCAATTTAAATCAGTAACTATAATTTTACCCTTTATTTAATCATTAGGTTTTGTTTTGTTCAAATAGATACGGAACAAAATATAGTCCTGATGCTTTTCGAGGACGTTCACCTTTTAATCGATCTCCCAGTAAGATAAAGTTATGTCATAATTTTTAATCATTATTTTTAATTAGATTATGGTGTTGGGACAGAGGAATTCGAAGAACCTTATGAATATACGACCTGGGTTGAGACTTATGTTCCAACAACAGTAGCACCTGCTGTTGGTCGTGCAAGACGACCTGTCATCTATGTTGCAGCTCCGTTACCGGCTGCAAATCCATGTGCTAGTTTTGGTGCTGGTTCACTATTTGGAGGCGGTTTCCCTATGGGAGGTGGTTTCCCAATGGGAGGTGGTTTCCCAATGGGAGGGGGTTTCCCAATGGGAGGTGGTTCACGCCTTCCAGGTAGAATTCCATTCAGAGGTGGGGCACCATTCGGGGGTCGCGTTCCGTTCAAACCCAATGTTCCGCGATATCGTTAAGAGGACAAAGTTTCTTGTCTTTTCTTAAAATAAAAAAAAAAGCATAGATTTTGTTAAGAACTATAAAATATTGATTGAATTTCGAAGTTGTTTTTTTTCTGATTAATGTGAAAGACTTTTTTGCTTGATTACTTATTGAAATTTACATGTAAACTTTTCTTTTTTTCTTATTATGAAAAGAAATTTTCATAAACTGTAAAGGAAAAAGAAAAGAAAGTTTTTTTCTGTGAAACTTTTAAAAGTTTATTGATAAGTTTTTCTTTTTTTTATAATTCTTCTTTGCATTTTGTTTTGTTGTCTTTGTCAAATTATTATTTAAACAAAACAAATGAAAAAAAAAAAGCTATGCTGACAAATATTTTATTTAACGTTTTTTATGTAAACATGGTGCAAGTGTTAGAATTGATTTCGATTTGATTTGATCAGTTGTTTTAACAAAGTCAAATGTATAAAAATATTTTGTTGATGATTTAGTTTTATCATCTAATGAATTGGTTTTTGAACATTGAAAACCAATTGATTCAATTTTTCTTATGAATTTTTGTGGTTGGTTTTCAAAACGCGATGCTATTTCAACGATTTTCATTGTACCACGTAAACGAAGAATACGATGAGCTTCATGAATAAAATCAGTTAAATTTGTACCCATTAATGATAAACAAAATATAACAATATCAACAGAATTATTCTTTAATGGTGTATGCGCTATATCACATACTTGAACATACTCATTTAATGCAACTAAATCAAAACTATGAATATTTGGATGTGTAGATTTAAGTGTACCAGCAAGACGTGCATCACCACAACCCATATCAACAATTACAAGATTTGATGAACGTTTACGAATATAAGCAATTATTTCATCTAATGGTTGATCAGGCCATTGAGACATACTTGTCTGAAAGTAAGAAGTTAGAAAAAAAAGACTATGTTTTTTTCCCATTATTTGAATAAAACTTACGGAATAACCTTGATGATAAGCATAGAAATTTTGAGGATCTTTTTCAAACATTTGTTGAGCTTCTTCACTTGTTGATGTATATAATTTTTCATTAAGATAACGAAAACGTGATGTTATCATATGAGAAACAAGTTTATCACAAATTGATGGTTTAGATTGTTGAGAAGATTTCTTCTTTGGTGGTTCATTTTGTTCATCAAGTTCCTGTTTACGTTTATTTGTTTTTGGTAATGTTGGAATAATATTTTTTAATTCCGGATGATTCATTAAATAATATTTATTTTTACGACTTTTTTTTGGTATTATAGATTGCTTTTGTTGTTGTAGTTCATTATTAATATGTTTTTTTAATTCTACTCGTTTTTTATTGATATTATCATCATCGTCTGACTCATCATTTAATATACGTTCTTCTCGTTTACGATCGATTGGATTATTATCATGACGTGGTACACGTTCGAAACTTTTTCTTTTCGATTTCTTTTTATCAAGTAATGATAATTCACTATCAGCAAGAATTTTTTTTACTTGAATATAATTTTTATTTGTACGTTTTTTATGTGGCATCTAAAAAATAAAAATAAAAACAAAACAAAACCTTATTCTTCATGTAAAAAATTCAATATCTTTATTCAAAGATTACTATGATACAAATATATTTAGATAACATTAAGTTTTCTTTTTGTTTGTAGTTGAAATATATTAAGGTAAATCTATTTATAGAAATATATGTGTAAAAAAATCATATTCTAATCTACACTAATTTACATTTCATTTATTATGAAAGATTTCTATTTGATATAGACGATCGTTAGAAGAGTGATTGAATTCAATCAGATTTTTGGAGACCTCAGAATTGACATGAACGAAAAACAAAAAGTAGAAAATGTTTTTGAGATCGGGACTTTATAGACTGACTATGCAAATCTCTTTATTAAGTGCATTCTGTGATAATTGTTTTTTTTTATTAATTTTAAACTAAATAGTTTATTTTTCTAAATCTTATATTTAATTGAATTCAAAACATGGCGTCCTTGCATTTCAATAATGAATCAATTTACCATACGCCCTTAGAATGATAAATAGCGTATAATCATAGATTTTAATGAAAAAGGTTCGTTTGATTTTTTCGTTTTTCTTTTTTCAATATAAAACATAAATATAACAAATAGAAACACAGAAATTAATCATTAGACGTATGTTAAAATAGTCTTTCTTTATCAAATAATTAGTTCTGTTCTCTAATAAATAATATTTGAGTTACATTCAATAGAAGGTTAATGAAAATAAATCAAAAGAAAGTGACAACGTTGTGTAAACGATAAAAAGAAAAATCATTGATGTGTGACGGTACATCGTTTCGAGGTATTTTTTTTCACTTTCGTCATTGTATCTATCAATTATTAACGACAAAAAAAACGTAAGAGGTATATCACTATGTAACATCAAATAAATTTGTTTTTTTTTTTCTATTCATGAAATAACAATAATCATAACAATCAATTGTCAGTCAAATTCAACTATATGTATATAAAAAGAAAAAGAATAGAGAAAGGAATTTATTAATTGGAATATGATAATCAAATAAAGAAAAACCTCATGTGAATGTATATAATTGGCTCTTTAAATAGTTTGCAATATACAAAAAGATAATAATTAATCGACTATTATCAAGAATAGGAAGATAAACAATATACCGTAATAAATTCAAAATAAAAAAAAAAATAATTTTTTTTTTTCAAGAACTGTCTAATGATGATCTACTGCCAGAAAGAAGTCGTTGTGTATCATTAATAAATCTTTGTGAACTATGCCAAAAGCCATAGAAACCATAAATGAGAAAACCTAATCAAATAAAATATAGTTCATCATTTCGAAAGAAAAATTATCATTGAATAAACATACCAATAAACATCCATACACCAAAACGAATCCATGTTGCTGATGATAATTTGAGAATCAAATACGTATTAACTAATACACTCAATATAGGTACATAGGGTACATATGGAGTCTATTAAAAAAAAATCAATCATAATAAGAAATTTAATTGAATAACTCACTTGAAAATAAACTGATTTTTCATTTTTTGGTTGTCGTGCAATTGTAATAACAAAAAAAATTTCTATTACAAAAAAAATTATAAGAAAACTTATTGCTATTGGATCTTTTTCTTCAAGACGATGTTGAGCAAATATTTGTATAGCACAAAGAATAAAACCATTAATAGCTATAATAATTATTATAAAAAACACAAAATAAACAAATAAATAAAGAAATAAAATGAAAAAAACAAAAAAATTACTCAAGCAAGTAATTAGATATTTAGTTAATCTTGCTGATACAATCGTTGGATGTAATCGGAATGGTCGAAATAATTGTTTACAAATTGATTGTTCAGTTTGTTCATCATTATCTATTAATCGATTCTCAACAGGTTGATAACTATACAAAACAGAAATGTTTTTTTTTATTGATTTATTGAAAAAGATGACAAGTCAATAACTATTAAAATCGATCCGATCTTTTCTCCTATGTCAAATTGTCATACAAGGTGACCGAAAGTGAGCCTTCGTCAAATAAGTTATAGAACACTTATTTGTGTTGTGCATGAATTGTTTTTTTTGACTCAACCTTGAGAGAGATTATGGATGAATTTTTCGACAATACAAAAAAATGGTTGCAAAATTTTTTGAAATATACGTAAATCTATTCAGTTTTGAATATTGATTCAGAATACCATATTAATTTTTATCTGAATCCTATTCCTCTAATCGAACTCTAGAAAAAAAAAATCACTTCTGGAAAATAGTCTTCATGATTTTCTTTTTATAGCCAATATTTTTTTTTCCTTGATTTTTTTATATCATTTTGATGCGCTTGAAAAATGCTGATTATTATTAATAGGCCGATTCAATGTACATATGACAGTCATTGACTATGTCAATCGACCTTGCACAGATAAAACAAGTACTATATGACTAATTCTATGAGGTCTCGCTTTCGAACATCTTGTATGATAGTTTGGCATAGAAGAAAAGAGGGCGCCAATTTTAACAGTTATCAACGTTCTCTCTCGCTCTTCTTTTCACCGTAAAAATAAAACAGATATTGATACAAGTGAATAAGCAAGTAATGTTCCAATTGACATCATTTCAACTAATTTTTTTAAATCAAATAATAATGCCATTATTGCTAGAAACAAAAAATATAAATATAAGTATAAACGATTTTTTGTTTGCTATACCTGATACAATACCACCAAGAATTGTTGCTACTATGGGTGTTTGTAAACGTGGATGTATCCAAGCTATAAAACGAAATATTAATCCATCAGTAGCTATTGCATATAATACACGTGGTAATGGTAAAAGGGAACCAAGTAATGATGCAAAAATACCTATAGAAAAATGATAATAATTTACATAAAATAATATGCTATTGAACAGTAGCATAGCCAGAAAGTTTTGAATAATAGGTAATGTTCGAATGAAGCTATTTTGAGATTTGGACATCTATGGACAATTGTTCCATAATTTAGAATTTGACAATTCAAAAAACAATGATAGCAAGAACCGAATAGAAAGATGTGGATGTTAAACAAGACAATACTTGTACCGACACTGGTTGTTTCAGATTCTGGGGATTTCTCGAAACTGCTGACCTCTAGGACAATTATTCAAAAGTTCATAGCTGGCTACGCCACTGATATTAAAGATATGTAGAACAAACCAGCTAAGGCACCAACACCGATTATATATTTAAAGGTTGGCAAATGAACATAATGAAAAGCTTCAGGTAAACCAGCGTCAGGATTAATTAGATAATATGGAACCTGAATAGAGAATAAATTTATATGAGATTGAATCATTCCTGTAATGAACAAACATATAGCAGCGGACAAGTTTAAAATAGTTGTATTTGTGAGTTCTCTTTTTATTGGTAATAACTAGGAACAACCTGAACAAAAATGATTGAACAGTTGAAAGGATCTCTATCAGAATTGGGGGATTTAAAAAGTCCAGTAAAACTGCTTCGGTGAACATTTCTCGATTCTCTTTATAACCTTCTTTCATTGAACTATAATCAATTTATTAAATGCCCCAAAGGATCAAATACGGCGAAATTATTGAAAATTTCTCATAAAAAACAAGAGAAAAATGCTTCTTAGGTCTTATATGAATTGAATACAGTTCCATGGAAACACTCAAAATATTTCATTTTGCTCTATCTAATAAAAACTTCAAATCTATGCCAGGAAGCTAGTTTTTGAAAGTCTTGGGTTCCCAGGCATCCTCATCCAAGCAGTTGTATTGAAGTTTTTAGATCTATCAATTCGGATAGAGAATATTTCCAGTTACTCAATCATTTTTTCAGATTCTTCCTACCTGTTACTATCAAGATGAAAATTCAAAAATACAACTGATCTCAACCTACGACTGCCACTATAATTGTCGAAAATTATGTGATTTTATGAAACGAAGAAAAATGTAAGTTTGCATCCTTATAGCTTTTATACGAACAAGATCTGATATACAGATTTGCTCTGATGAGTACGTATACAGTAGCGAGTGGTACGAAAATTTCTACACAATATGTTCTTTCATTGGTCAACCCGATTATGAGAGCTAACAAAACATAGGGTTAGAATCAGAATTTAGTGCTCTTTTCGTATATATGTTTTAAATTTATATGAGGATCATAGATTAGGAATTATGAGTGAATTTTTGAAAGCTCCAAAAATAAATTTTAACCGAGTTTCAGTGTGCAAAAAAGTCATTGACGATAGAAGTAAAATTTATCACAAATACTCCAAAACAAAATGATAGCGAAGATTTCACTACGAATTGATTAATTTTCTGTGAGGTTTCTATAAATAATAAGACTTTTAGTAGAAGACACATTAACATCTTCAGGACTTCTTGATTTTACAGACTTACAAAATAAGCTTGATCATTTCTGAAGGATTACTGTGAGACATTCGGTTCTTAGCTCACATTGAAGAAAGCTGTCTCGCTCTTTATGCTATACACAAAATTCAATAACAGGCATTATGCTGTGAAGGACGTATATTGTCTAGGTGCTACTATCGGCGCCAGAATTCAAGGCAGTCGGATGTTTTTTGAATAACTTTTTATAGGAACAAGATAGAGACCTGCGGTTTTCAATGTTGGATAGCCAAGACCTAGGAGCATATTTTGATAAGCAAAATCTTTTCTGAGAAAAAATTCAAAGATCGGTTTTTTAGAGAATTTTTGAAAAACCATGCTGGATTTCTGAAAACTGCCATAACAGTCTATTGATTTTTTACATATTCAGAATTCGCATCGAAAACTGAATCGAACCACGTATGTTTCGAATCTTTTCACGAACTGTTTTTTTCGTCGAAAAATTCACCCCTGGTTCCCATGAGAGGTAAGTCTAAAATGAGGGCAGCGAAAACTCCGTTTTTATTGTTTATTCATTTGCCATTTTATGTTCTACTAGCATTTTAGAAGCTCCGAACTCGATTTCCGCTGTCCAAGTGACTTTTTGACTGACTTTATTTTTTGATCTCTTTCTCAGGCGGACCAGAGGTGAATTTTTCGGCGAAAGAAAAAGTTCGTGAAAAGATTCGAAACATATATGAATCGACTCAGTTTTCGATGCTGATTCCGAATATGTAAAAAAATCAAAATACTCCTATGGCAGTTTTCAGGAATCCAGCGTGATTTTCTAAAGATCCGCTGAAAAACCAATCTTCAGATTTTTTTTTCTCAGCAAAGGTTTTGCCTATGAAAATCTGCTCCTGAATCTTGGCTATCAAATGCTGGAAATCGCAGGTCTCTATCTTGTTCCGATCAAAAGTTATTCAAAAAAATATCCGACTGCCTTGAATTCTGCCGCTGATAGTAGTTCAAAAAATTCCTGAGCCTGATGCGGTGGGACTAAGCTAAATTAAGCATCTTTATGAGGAAAATAAGAAAATAGCACACAATCTATTTCGTAGCCTATGAGTTTCACAAAACTCCCGAACATATATTTGAAACGTATACAAAATTCTAATTCTAATCCAATGCTTTACATGTACTAATAATTCCGTAACCGATCGAAACAGTGTGTCCGAAAGTTTTGAGACTAAATACTTCCTTTACTTTTGGCTTCTTTGAAAGTGCTTCATAGTTAGAAAGCTATGAGTCTTTCCAGATCCGAGTCTGTTCCACAAAATCGTGAACCCACATATTGTCAACTGTTCAGATATGTATAGTCAGCCGACAGAGAAAGAAAAAAATAGCGTGTTAAGCGAATCAATATAAAATGTGCTATGTACGATGTTTTCTCGTAAAAAAAAAACGGGCCGAACTTATGATTTATACTAGTCGATAGAGAAAACTTTTCTCTATCTAACTGTGCTTCTATTTTTTTTCCAAAAAAGTGTTTCTACCAAGAAATAATCGATACAAATTGACCAATCAAAACACATTAACGCTGATGATTTGATAATGAATCGATGATTCATCGCGATTAGTCTGCAGACTAGAGACCTGCGGAGTCAACTTTTTTCATTCCGAAACCCGACTCCGACTCCGATTCCGAAATCTTTCTTTTTATGACTCCGATTCCAACTCCGATTCCAAAAATTTTTATTTTTTGACTCCGATTCCGACTCCGAAAAACTCCGAAATTTTTTAACAATGTCATTTAAAAATAAAACGTTCTCAGCAGTCAAAGGACTCTTTAATGACTTAACATGCGCACGTTTTACACTAAAAATCTCAAGTTTCTCTTTAAAAAAAACCAGTTTATGGATGTTATCATCTTCAAAGTCGCTTTTTCCCCTCAAAAAAACCTTTTTGAATGTGTAAAAAATCCACAGTTTTGCTCCTAAAAACGCGTTTCTGTTACTGATTTTACCGGCCTTGGATGTTCTTCGTCTAAACAAGGAAGAACTAATGATGAAGATAGTTGTAGTACTTTGAATGACATTAATATATCTTTTTTGACTAATGTTGTTATGTTTTCATCTCACTTGATCATTCGAGTGTTATAACTGGAAAGTGATTCGCTCATCTTTCTGTCCTACAAGTGATATAAATCTATGTGACAGATATTACGCTTTATTTTTCTATTTACTAATGTTAAAAATTAAGTTTTGGTAAATCGAAAAAAAAATATCGGAGTCGAACTTGTAACTGACTCCGACTCCGACTCCGACTCTGTCGGAGTCGGAGTCGGAATCGGGTTTCGGAGTCCTCCCCAGGTCTCTACTGTAGGCTAATACTTAAAAATTTTATTTTAGTTTTTATTCGAAAATAATGAAACAATCTTTGCAAGACCAAAAAGAAGTAAAGTCAATGATGAACCAATAGGCTACTTGCTAACTATTATACGCTCTATTCGGAAGCGTCAAAAATTATTTGAGTCGATAATTTTTTACCAAGAGCTTCTCGTCATACGAAACGCCTTTTGGTCAACAAGTCAATTTTTCAAAAATTGAAGTGACATGAAGAAAAACTCGAATAGTACATTTTTTATGCTAGTTTATGCTCTATAAGTGAATATAATAATAACAGTTTCAACGTTTAGTTTGCAGTTACCATAATGAAACTAAAGTGTACGGAAAAAATTTCCATCCAAATTATTTTGTACAGAGAAAATTTCTAAGTCGAACTTTGGGAAGAGTACAAAATTCTGATTATGCCCCATATCTTTTGATTCATTGAAAACATTTTCAAGATAATCAAAAATAAACAATTATTTTATCTCAAAACTTTCCGCGTATCAGTTGAGAAGGTTTACTGCAATCATTCTATATCCGTTCTATTTTAATGAAGACTTTACTCCTGCAACTTTCAAATCATGAAAATGATTTACAAGATAAGTTTGAGAACTGTTTAATAGTCTTTAAGTTAAAACTATGTGTATCATGTAGATTCTAATGAGCTATGAATATTCTGAAAAGAATTTAAGCTTTTCGCTTATTGTTACTGAGATACTGCATTTTTATGATATTTTCTTAGCTAATTTCGTGGTTCCCCAAAGGAATACTAGAAAGATTCGTTTTCGAATTTCGACCTGAAACTCTGCACGGAAACAGATCTTAACCAGAATAGCTTATTCTGAAAGTTTCATGTCCTTTGATTTAGTTCTATCCTAAAATAAGAGTATCGAATGTACTAATGTATATCTGTATCTTAGGATAGAAATAACGAAAATATCTGAAAATTTCAAAAGAAACTATTCTCAGTGAACCGAGTTTCTATTGAAAAGCTTGAAGCTGAAATTTAAAAATTACCGTAAAAATGAAGTATCTCGGCAGCTATAATCTATGATCCAGAATTCTTTTCAGAATATTCATAATTCATTTGAGTCTACATAATACACAGAGTCGTGGTTCAACAGTAACATTTATTTCAATTTCTTAAGTTCTATCAATTACACGAATTTACGACGCACTCAATCTTCTTTATACTGTTGCTTCTGTTGCAATTATAACAAATCTCTCACCATTAATGTAATAACAATTGATACAGAACAATAAACTATTGAACAAACGAGTAATGTTAAACAGATAGAAAATGGTATAGCTCGTTGTGGATTTTTAGTTTCTTCACCTAGGAAAAAATAAATTATTTTAATTGAAATAAAAAACAAAATTTCATTTACCAGCTGTTGCAACAAGATCAAAACCAACAAAAGCATAAAAACATGTTGCTGCACCCGCTAATGTTCCTTCAATACCGAATGGAAAAAATCCACCTTTACCAATTATCATTGTACTATTGGTTATATTGCCTATCTAATGAGCTTAGAAAAGTTCAAAATCCATTTTTATTAGAAAAACTAAAAAATCTACTTCGTTCGGTGAAATATTCCAATTATGTCCATTAACTTCAGTTAAACCAGCAATAATAACAGTAGTAACAACAATAAGATTGACAGCAGTAAGAACACTATTTAATAGTGCCGATTCTTTAATACCAATCGTCAAAAGAACTACGAAAATAAATTTCTATTTAATTAATAATTTTCATTTATTTTCTAACTTACGAGTTATAATAAGACATAAACCCATAGCAAATAAATCTGCATATTCTGAAAATATGCCAGAATGTAATGGCAAATGTTCTTTAAAAAAGTTTTTCATTGTAAAATTAATTAGAGAATCAAAATAAGCACTTAATGCTCGTGCCGTACTAGCGGTACCTAAAATAAAAAAGAAAGAAACATTTTCTTTTGTAGTAAGAATCTATCAATTGAAATCAAGTTTTGCCAAAATGATAGTGACTTTAAAAAAAATTGTATCATAGCAGCATCATTGATGTAAGCAAAAGATCGACTTGAAGACGATATATTCTAATCCTCGGACATGAACCTATTCCTCCTGTAAGCGATGAAAAATAGCCATCAACTGTCTTTGTTGTTTTTATTTTGGCGGTGTATTGAGGTCATATCTTCATGATATAAAGTATTATTTACAACTTTTTTTGTGATATCGGCTAAATTTATGGATTCTCACTAGTTTCATGTTACATCCTATGTATGCTTTCTACAATGATGAAACATTTTATTTTATAAATAGGATTCGTATCTGAGATGTTAATGATCGGTACTTCTTTTTTTGACTCAATCCATTCGAAACTTAACTTGACTCACTTCATGGGCTAACTTGCAAACTAATCTAAATTTTATTAATAAAATATTTAGTTAAAAATTCGTTAGTTTTTATTTATTGACAAATCCGTTTTTTAACTATTTGTGAATCTAAGATTCTTATAATTAGAATGTTATTTGTTATGTCTGAACAAACACATGAACATGCCCAAATTTAGATGAAACTTCCACACAGCAAATAGTACAGTAAAACTAATAGAATATGTTGCAATATACGATGTTAAAATAGCGAATACAAATTCGGCTAACGAAGGCACCGCCCGAAGCGATTCACTGCTTTTGAGCTCTTTTTTTTTGGTATATAGAGAGGACGTTTAGATTAGAATATTCCTAAAAGGATTTGAGCAAATATGATTTCGGTACAAAGTTATAGTCATTTTACTTTAGGTTTGGCATATGGCACGGTATACACAAACAAAGAGACTGACGGTATTTCGACCTGCAATTTTATCCACAGATAAGTCTACTTGTAATTAGAATGTCCCGAAAATTTTAGCTAAAAAAAATGCTTCCTTCGCAAGATATTGAATGTCGAAAAAACATGAGGTTCTCGCATCTTTTATGGGATCTGTGTGATTTTTGAAAATTCAACATCTCGCGAAGAAAACATTCTTTTGAGCTGAAATTTTCAGAACATTCTAATTACAAGTAGACCTAGTTGTGAACAAAATTTCAGGTCGAAATACCGGCAGCTTCTTTGTTTCTGCATACTGTGCCATATGCTACAACTAAAATAAAATGGCTATAACTCAATAGAGAAGGCCTATTGGTACGAGTCCTTCTAGGAATATTCTAGTCTCGAGGTCCCCTCTATATGCCAAAAATATGAGCTCAAAAACGGCGAATCACTTCGACCGGTTCCCTCGTAAGATGAAACTAGATTACTCATCATCATTTTGTATAATTAACGAACTAATTAATATGTCATGCACTAAATTTGGTTTTATGCATATATGAACTTGTTTTTTGGTACATCTAAGAGAAGACCCACATCCATACCCAAAACACATTTATACGTATACATACTTCAAAACAAGTAGATGAACGGCTAGAACGAAGAACTAAGAAATGGCATGAATGTTGAACTTAATTATATGGAGAAAGAAAGAATGAAAAGCAAAACTTGTCAAAGGATTGAATTCGCGAGTACATGTAAAAATAAAATATGACCTATAAATCGTGAAATAATATCTAGCACATGGTCCGTCAAATGTTCAACCTGTGGATGAATCACAGGTCATTTCGTCAACATCTCTGATTTTTACATAAAGATCAATACGTAAAAACTAAATGCATAGAATGCTTATGAAAAAAAGTGAAAATATAAAACAAGAATAATTATATGCAGAAAAGTACGATCAAAAATTCCTTAAAAAAGATAGTTTTCTAATACAAATACATAAAAATCAAAGACTTATGGTCGTTGTCTTTAACGTCTTCAAATGTTTGCAAGCTGGTTTTTTTTTCGATCTAAAGTGAGCAAGAAGAAGATTGAAATCTGAATCAATTTTACATCGACTACCAGAAATACAAAAGAATGGATGCGCTTTCATCTTACTAGCAGTTAATAGGATCATTCGATAGAGAAATTATTCCCGTATCTGGAAAAATAGAACGAAAGAACATAAACATATATTTATCATTCATTACTCTTACCCATACAATTTAATAGGATTCTCTCAGGGTGAACAAATAATTTGATCGTTATCTGCTTAAATCTTGTTTTTTTAAGGAAATATTGTCCAACCTTCTATCATTTATCTATGAAGAAAAGCCGCGAACATAGAATATGAATTACTTTTCTGAACAACTTGATTAATTAATATCATGTTGATAAAACATGACACAAAGACATCTTAATAAAATCTATTGATTGATGTATGATATAGATCAAACTGTAGTTTATTGGATGTGTACATTATTTGTAAAATTAAAAAAGAAAAAAGATTTGTTTAATTTCTATATAATATGAACGAAGCTAAAGGCGAAAAACACCTATATCGACGATATAACGGTTTTTAACATATCAATTGTCGTAATTTTTAATTTTATGAATTCTAGAGGAATCGAAAAGAAAACATTAGCAAGCATCATTATATAGAGCAGCAAAATCATGCAGATAGATGTACAAAACTGCTAATGTTGATATATTCTTCAATCTTGTATTATTTTACAATGCTTTTCAAGTATTTTCTTTCTATATTTATTTAAACATGCAATTGAACATTTATAGAATTCAAACTAGTATAATAAAAAAAAAAGAAATCTATAAATCACATCTTATAATTATTCTTTCAGTGTACTGTTTAATAAAATGAAGAAAAGTAATTAGATCTATCTATATGCAAACTGTTAGAATGAAACTCTGTAATAAGATTTTTCGGGAACTACCTACGAATGAGTCGAAAATCTAGTAAATCAGTTAGAACTTGGTGCAAAAAGTCCCATCAAGATAAACCATTTCAGGCTTTTACTAGTCTCACCGAGATATCCTTCCCAGTCGAATATGAACTCAGATGGTGAGTATCATTTCCTCTTTAGTTAATTTCAATATCATTGACTTGGTTTTCAATTGTTCAGTTCTCAGGATAAGTCAAAGAGTAGATGAAACAGATGATCGTGTAACTATCGAGTATATTTATCGAAGAGAAAAGATTGAAAAGGAAGTCAAATTGAATGATGTTATTCTACAAGATAGTAATTGTTATTTTGTATTTTTCTTGTTACTGAATATTTCAATACATATTCAAATTAATCATTGAGTTCCACAAAACTATGGTAATTTTTTTAAATTTTAAACGTTTTTGTGCCAAGTAGAGAACCTGATATCTAATAGAATATTTTCCAAAAACTCTATCTCGTAATCTAAAACATAGGATCTGAATGTTAAAAGGACATATTTTTTCTTGATCATTCAAGTATCATTAAAAAACAAAAAAAACTAATCATTGACAGTTTTTTTCAAAATAGATGTTCAATTCAAAATTAACATACCTATAACATATTCTAAGACCATATTCCAACCTAAATAAGCATAATAAACATAAAATCAAAATTTTTGATTTAATAAAACTTCTTACCAATAATAAATGCCATAATTTCTCCTACGCTAACATATGTATATGTATAGGCACTTCCAGCACGTGGTGCTCGTGCACCAAATTCAGCATAACAAAGTCCGGCAAGAACCGAAGCAATAGCTGCGATAAGAAAACTAAGGACCACAGATGGACCTGCTGTTTCATGAGCTACTTGACCAGTAAGAATATAAATACCTGTTCCAAGTGTCGAACCAATACCTAAAAGAAACAACTCAATGGAAGAATTTTAAAAAAATAATAAAAATATATTATCTAACCCAAAATAGTCAAATCAAATACATTTAAACATCGTTTTAATTCCGAAACGTATAATGTATTAGTATCATAAGTTTTTTTTCGTGTTAAATTATCATATAAACTATACATTGCACTTGTCATTTTCTTTTTCTTGTTCAATTATTTATTGTAAACTAATAATAAATATGTAACGATTATAAATATTGAGATATTATTATAGATCGTGTTGGTCTTATTATGAGAAACGAATGAATAACAACACTCTTATCGATATATTGAAAAAATAAAATCGACATTCGAAACAGAAACTCGTTTGATGAGAACCAATCACAAGTCCATTCATTTCCAATTTTTATGTTTGATCATTAGCCACATAGAAAAGACGACAAAAGATGGCGTTATAGATTTTCCTTTCACGTAATTTTTTCTTAATGATTTTTTTTTCGATATAGATAAAGATGACACTAAATTAAAGATCAATAACAAAATGAAGACATAAATCAAGTGAAGAATCGAAATTTCTAATGGAAAAGTACCTTACGAAGAAACCTTGACAATTGATCAATCTGTTTGTGCATCATGTACACCCTAAAAATGAGTTCAAACTATTAGCTTGTTGCCGATGAGATACCGCATTTTTACGGTATTTTTCATTACAATATCGTGCCCCCTTCTCATTCAGGAAAGTTGATTTTAGAATTTCGACTTGAAACTCTGCATAGCAACGGGTCTGGACGAGAGCAGTTTATTGTGAAATTTTTAGATATTTTCAATGTTCATATCCTAAGAAACAGCTATGATAAATATGTAACTTCGAAAAGATCTGAAATCTTTGCAATAAACTATTTTCGTTTAGACCTGTTGCTTTACTAAGCTTCAAGTTGAAATTCGAAAAAATCGATTAGATTTGTTCGAAGAGTTTCTTCGGAAACTGTATTAAATGCTAGCGTATGAGATATAGAGATATAGGAGGTATAGGAATTGATTTTTTCGAGCAAGGATTGGCAAGTGGCATCAATATATTTTATGAATAGATGTTTAAATTCAAACACTATTGAATGATTAACTGTATCAGTTAATCCATATCTCCTACATTTCTATATATCTATATCTCCTATATCTCATGCGCTAGCATTTAATGGAGTTTCCGAGGAAACTCTCAGAACGCATCATATGGATTTTTTATTTGCGATGATCAGCAATATTAACAATCGAAAAACTAAGACGAGATTTAGATTATTATTACCTTCTTCGAGTACACCAACATCCTTTATCTTTCAGAAAATGATTAGCGAATGCATAGAATAAGCGTTGCTTGAGTACATCATATCCTGATGGTTCCCAATTAACAATTGGATTATCCATTTTATTGATGAAAACAACTAAATAACAAACACCAGCTGTTTTAACTAACATCGCATGTTCACAAATTTGACCACCACGTTCAAAACTTGTTTCAAATTCACCTTTACGAGTTGAAATGGTCTAAAAGCATAATATTATAATAAAAATGATTGAAAAGAATAGCAATATCAGCTTGTGCTGCACAACCAATCATATTTGGAACAAAACATTTGTGATCAGGTGCATCAAGAATAATAAAATGCTTTTCTTCAATTTCAAACCAAACTCGACCAACTTCAACAGTTTTTCCTGTGTCTCTTTCTTCTTCATTTGTTTCTAATGCCCATGAAAAATACCCAGATTCGAGAGATCTTTCACGAGCTTCAGTTTGATATTTTTCCAATGTTCATTTGACAACTTGTCCAGTTAAAAACCTAAGAAAGAAAAGTCTTTCAATCATATCATTTCATAAAATGAAGTTTACACAAGTTGTCCATCGATAGTTAATTTTCCAGCATCAACGTGTCCACACAAGACAATATTAAGTGGTTCCTTCTTTCGTACAATATCTCGTTTAATAATAACATTTTTCTTTTCCTTTGGAATTGCTGATCCACTGATTGCTTTGGTTTTATTCATTGTTGTTGTTGTATCATCAAGTACTCCTACATATAATTATATTAAAATATGCATAAAAACTAAAATAAACTAACTCTCGCTGTCTTAATCAGGAAAATCATCATAATCTCCTTCTCCTACAGTAGTGACTGGTTCTTGTACTTGCTGTTGAACAATTAATTCATTAGTCTTAATCACAGGTTCTGTTTGGTTAGTTTCATCTTCGGTAGTATTTTGAGTAAGAACAGATGTTGATGGTGGAGGTTTAGATACTAATGGTTGAGGGACAGTTGGAGGTTTTGAAGCAAACGAAAATTCAGAACCCAATGAAGGTACAAATTCGACGACATTCACATTCAAGCCACCCAATTTTGTAGTAGTTGATGATAATGTCGAATTGTCATCTTGTTGATTTCAACTAATAGCAATTGCATTAGTTTCTACGTGTTAAACACATTGGCTTTGAATAAACATACGGTCGTCACTAGACTCTCAATAATTTGGTGAAACTTTAGATCTTCATCGAAAGATCTAATCCAATCTGATATAAAAGTTCTCTTGAACGCCAGTATCATTTGTCAAGCTTGATTCAACATTTAAGTGAAGCGAGATTTAATAAAGTAAAAAAAGTTTATTCATGTGTATTCTGTGTTCACAGCAAAGATAAAAGACAGAAAACCATAAGAAAATATTAAAAAAAAAACAAATGGTCTAAAGTTATGTTTATCTGAGAACTTTAAATAAAATTGAAAGCGATAATTCAAAATAAAATATATAATTATATCATACGCTTCTTATTTATATGCTATCCTATTTCCTTTCATATGCATAAAAGTGTAATTTCTGTTCATGACCTAAGTATTTGTGAATAATATTTAATAAATTTTTCGTGCGACAAGCATTTTCTTCTTTACTTTTTCTGAACACGCAATAACGTATGTATGAATGAGAATACAGCCCAATCAGAAGTAAACGAAAAAGACAATAGATGTTCATCTTTGAATTCATTGACTATTCATCAACACTAATATTACTGATTATTTTAAAGAAACTTGACAATACGAATGTTCTCTATTGATTATTGATTCTTGAAACAGAATCTATGGAACGCATTCTTCTTGCTGCCGATTATCCTAATCTAACCGAACTTAAATTTTACAATGTTAACGACTGTAGTATTATTTCACATCATTTTACAGGTAAAAAACTTCAGTAGTAATGTGAGAATAGATTTCAATGGAAACGTTATATACAGTAGATAATATCTAATTATTTATTTAGTTGAATCATCATTTTCACGTATTTTTCAAGAACAGATTACCGATCTTATTCTTGTGTATAACAGAGATATACACATGCTCTCAATGAATCCAAACAAAAAATACCTGTATGAATATACACTGAAAATTTTTGAAAATCTAAAATACCTCTCTGTTATTCAATATGGCCGACTTTTATCTATTCATGATTTAGCTTCGATTACGTGGTTATCATTAAATCTTATCAAATTATGCGTTGATGTTTGCCGTTTTAACGATTGATTTGCGTTACTTCATGATCGTCTCAAACAACTGAATACATTTATTGTTAACATTGATTATATAGATGATAATTTATCAAGTGTGTTCAATATGGTAGGTTCATGTATTACTAGATATTTTTCTCAATTTAAATTATGTGAGTTATCTGATCAATAGTTGATTATATTCTGTATGTGAAAAGTTTCAAAAATCATTTATTCATCTAAACTTTTTTCTGTATAATCGATAATAATATATATATATACAAACATTGATTTGTTCCTTTTAGGATGATCTATCTACTATGAAATGTTTCTCATTAACATGCTGTTCCTATACTAATAAATATGATACTCGAGTTTTGTCTCTTCTTCGTTGTATGATAAAACTTGAAGAATTAATTTTAGGGATATTACTAACGACGAACAAACTACATTTATCGATGGTACTCAAATTAATGATAACATTCTTGTACATATGTCATGTCTTCGTAAATTTATTTTTCATATCAGTACTGAAGTTGAACTACATCATTTAACTCATTATTCATCGAACGAAGATATTCAACGAACTTTTACTAACATAGGATATCATCAAGTATGCTGTATACTAAACTACATAATTGATAGTTTCATGTGTTTTCATTACTATTCGCGCTTGATTATCTCGGATATGTTGACAATACATTTTCACCAATAGACTTCAGTCGTGTTACGAAATTGACGGTATACGATAAAATTTCATTCAAACATGAATTTTTGATCCGAATTGCACGTTTTTTTTCCTGTGCTTAAAAAATTAAGTGTTATTAATTTCGAATCACAGTCACAGATGAGAGACAATTGGGTCTATAACAATAATGGATTGTATTCAACTGTTGAATATTCAAATCTTATTTCACTTTGTGTACAATATAATCATATTGATTATATCGAGCAAATTTTCAATTAGAGAAAAACACATCTAACCATATTAATCGTTGGTTATGATGAATTAATATTTGTAACAAAAAAAAACTTCACAAGAAATGCAACACGGCGTAATTGTGTTCAAGTGAAATAATTAAATATTAGAAAAACAATCGTGCATACAAAAGAATTCTATAATTATTTTCCTCTCGTATAATCTTATTTTTGTTATGATTAAATTAATAGAATAAATAATAAACAGATTTCAATAGTAATTAGTTTCAGAGGGTCGCAGCGATATACATTCAAAAATCAGGAATTGTAAAATTCATTCTGATATTGCTTTTTAAAATCAAATCTGCATAAAAAAGTGTAAGAAGCAATCAAGATTAGTTAAAATTAAAATATACATTGCTTCGATAAAGAGCAAAGCTGTCTACTTTACACCTCCGAACAAAATTCTTTGCTCCTCTCCATTTCTATGCCATCATAATTTATTCCAAATTTTTAACCGAATAGAGATATGACATGAGAGTTTTATTTCAGATCACGCACTACAATAAAAGTCTCATGTCATATCTCTACTTGGTAATAAATTTGATGTAAACTATGATAGCATAAAAATAAAGAGAAGAAAAAACTCTTGTCGAGAATCGTATATGTATTTATGAACAGAGTTGTCAGTGATTTAATGTTCGTTTCTCAGTTTTGGTGTCTTTCTTTCGAATTTCTATTTCACTACATTTGTATGATGATAATCTGTCATTATCTAGCACATTCATTTCGATAATGCTAAAGGTATACATTATCAACATAGTCTGATTCACTTATAATAATGAATTTATTTTATACAGCCTTATTTTGTGAACATTGTCTAAGCATTAGAACAGATCAGTTTCGGTACAAACATGAACCAATGATGTTTTTTAATATAGTTGCCTCTTCTAACTCTGTCTTTGTACAAGAAAACAAACAAATAATAATTTTCGAACATTATATTTTCTTCTACGTTGAAAAATACGTGAAAATTAAAATCAAATCGACACGAGAATCCTTAGTACTTTGACACTTTGAGAGCCCAATGCATACGATTGGTGACAAAAAGAGAAAAAAATTGATTGATCGAATCCGTACGTCCAACCAAATAAAAATGATAAAAGATGACGCTCCTATGCCTTCGATGTTTAACCAGAATTGATATGTCTTTAAAGAGAGTGCACTAAGAAATTGAATGTTTGATGCAAAAATAAGAACTCTTTTGCTTTATAAAGTACACGAAATTAATAAGAATTAATAGAAAAAAGATGAACATTGCAATAGAACATGGCTTCTGCGAAAATTTCACTAAAAATTCAAAATCTCGAATACTTCAACGCTATTATCAATCTCCAAATGAATTACTACACAGTACAGCATAGTCATCTTTTATCATTTTTATTTGGTTGGACACACGAATTCGATCAATCAATTTTTTTCTCGTTCTGTCACCAATCGTATCTATTGGGCTCTCAAAGTGTGTAGTGTAAAAAGTACTTAATATTAATCAACTAAGTATGATTTTCAAAAAATTACTCTTTATTTAATATTTTAGATGGCACCTGTAGGTGGTCGTCATTTTTCTCAATCGGCTGGTCGATATACTAGTGGACGAAACTATCGATCACATTTTCGTTTTGATGATCGATCTAGACGTGATAATCGTTATGAAGTATGAAAGTTATAAAATAAAAAACAATTAAAAAAATTTTATATATATATATAGAAAAAACGAAAACGACGTAGTAGTTCTCGATCAGATCAACTACGACGACGTGATGATACTCGACGTTCATATTCAAAATCATCCGTAGATAAAAAACGACGAAAAATCGATAGTGATGAAGAATATGATGATTTATTAAAAGAAGAAAATGATCCAGAAAAAAAATTTCGTTTAATTTTAAAAAAACAAAATGCAATCATCAAAAAAACATTAGCAAAATCAGTAAGTAATTTATATCACTCGTATATATAAACTAAATAATATTGTTTATAGTTTGATTTGAGTACATCTACTCTATCGAAATTATTAGTCGATAAATGTGATGAAGCAATTAAAAATTCAATTATATCAAAATCTAAGTAAGTTTGAAAAAATATACTAATATATGTATATAAACTTTTAAAAATTTACTTTTATACGTGAGAGAATTTTCAATATTTAGTATCTCAGAAAAATTACAACATGTCTAATAAATGAATCTCATTGTGAAGTTTATTTTTGCAAATAATCATTACGTATTATTCAGAAAATCACTTTTAATATACGATTGATTTTCATTAGAAATGCTTTGAAGTCTGAAAAAAAAATAAAGGTTTAGTAAAAAAAATTTAAAGATTTTTTTGGGAAACCTATTGTATATTTCAAGAGCGTTTATGTTAATTGTAGTGATCAAAGATACCTAATAGAATATTTTGACATAGTTTAAGCGGTTTGGATTGGCGTTTCCTAGAAGAATTCTTTCCCATGTACTATCTATGGACAAAGTTTTATGACTAGACTAGTTTATCGACTTTTTTTATATAAATACTGCGCCAAAGATTAAAATAAATCCAGTGTAACTGGCACAACTTCAAAAGGATAACGTATGGGAAAGAATCATTCTAGATTTCTTCTAGTCTCAATAGGTCCTACATAATGACTGGAGTCTCATCTCAAACACAGAGTATCACTTCAGGTGATTTCCTTGTAAGTACTAAAATTAATATATTTTAGAGCACAATTTGAACGCAAACAACCTGAAGATACTGAACTAATTCAAACATCACGTGTTGCTACTGATGAAGTAAAAAGAAATATTTTTTATATGGAAAAATAAAATAAAATTTATTAATTAGGTTCATTTACGTGATGAAATATCTCATTCAGACATTGATGAAAGTGATGAAGTATGTGATTGATTGAATATTTTAATAAATTAACATTAAATTTTAATTATTATTTTATTTTCTCTTTATAAAGGCACCAAATAATGATTATAGTCAACATTTTATAAATACTGGCCAAAAACCACAAAATTATATTCGTGATGCTGGTTTGAATTATTTAGTTTTTCAATTAAATTATGTTCTATGTATTTTTTTTTAAATGATTAAATAGGTCTTCAAAATCGTTTTGAAGAATATCCAAAATTACGCGAATTAATACGTCTTAAAGATGAATATATTGATAAAACAAATTCACTACCAATGTATTTACGTTGTGATTTATTAGCAAATAATTTTACATTATCATCACTTGATTGTGAATTTGATGTTATTCTTATTGAACCACCATTAGAAGAATATAAAAGAACAAATGGAATTCATTTTGATCGTTATGTTACATGGGATGAAGTAAAGAAAAAAAAAATTTTACATTAAATATTAATTCTCTTTTGAATAAAAAAAAAAACCAGGTAATGAAACTTGATGTCGAATCAGTAGCTGCACAACGATCATTTGTTTTTCTATGGTGTGGTTCAGCTGAAGGACTAGATCAAGGAAGAGCGGTAAGAAAGAAATAGAAAAGTAGAGAAAAACAAAACAAAACGAAATTGATATTATTATTAAGTGTTTAAAAAAATGGGGTTTTCGACGATGTGAAGATATTTGTTGGGTAAAAACAAATCGAACAAATCCCCGAGCAGCTCTAACACTTCAATCAGGTTCAATTTTTCAACGGACAAAAGTAAGTTTTCCGATATTGCTTCATAAAAGAATTTCAGGCAAAACAAGATATATCCACCTTTCATTGAACTTAGATTTTTTTTTTACAAGGATTATTTTTCTCGTTCAGTTCTTTTAGCATAGACATATATAAAAATGTTGATTCTGTTAGTTGCACAGTAGGTATTTTTCTGGTCAATGTTGCTTTATCATCTCTCAAACGACAATATAGTCTTAGAAAGTCTAATCGGAAAATTTTTTTTTTTGTTGTTGTAAGAAGAGTAATACATCTGGGAAACTCGTGTTGTAGATGGAGGGGCATTCAATTTGAAATTGGGAAAAATTGTGCCAGTTCTTTATTCTGAACACATGATCGTAAAAGCACTCGATGATAAAGAACAAAGAATTTTTCGAAGCCCAAGCTGATAAAACTAAAATTGTTTTTTTTTTTTACAAATCAATAAAATGCAAGACGCAATTTTAGATTATTTATAATTTTCTCCTTATTGCTTTTCTGTTCACGATATAAAAGTAATAACTTATCTGAATAAAGGTCTCTAGAGTAAATCAACATACATGTATCTTAATTGTCACATTGTAAAACATAAAATACTTACGATCATTAGAAAATATTAAGTTTCATATTTTAGTTTTGTCAGAGATTGATAGGTACGGCTTATATATATAATATTCCGAAGGATGAAAATAAGACTGTTGGGAATATGGATGATCGAATTTCGAGCTGAAGTTTTGTTGGTAAATTCGACAACAGAAGATCGGGAAATTAAACTGAAACGGACTTTTCACTACACATTATGATAAAGCAAAAAGAGGTTTGACTGTTTAGAACGTTTCTTCTTCAGTCTTTTTTTTTTCAATGAACTTCAATTATCAATAACTAATTAAATTCTATAACGAGAATACTTATAATTTGCTGTAAATCACTAGACACATCAATCAAAAATGTTGCTTGTTAAATGTATTTGCGTAGATAATATCATAAAACCGAATATATTCTTTTTAATTAAAGGAACATTGTCTAATGGGTATTCGTGGTACAGTTCGTCGATCAGTTGATTCTGACTTTATTCATGCAAATGTCGATATTGATTTAATAATAACTGAAGAACCTGAATGGGGTGATCCAAATAAACCTATTGAACTATATCATATTATTGAACATTTTTGTTTGGGTCGTCGTCGTCTACATTTATTTGCACGTGAATCAACAATAAGACGTGGTTGGTTATCAATTGGTTCAGAAATTTGTACATCAAAATTTGATAAACGTATTTATAAATCATATTTTGAAACACCAATTACACCACTTGAAAATCTAACTGAACGTATTGAACAACTTCGACCAAAATCACCACCACCAAAAGGTCTTAAAGCAGCAGCAGGAGCAACAGTAACAACAGCATCAAATGCAAATCCAAATTCAACATCAAATCAACAAACTATTCTATCAACAGCACCATCATCATCAACAAAAGAATTAACACCATTATCAGTTTTACAAGATGGTCAACAAGCAATACGTTCAACAATAACTAGTAATCGTCAATCATCATCACGTGCAGTTCGTCCACATTGGGGATTATATACCGATGATATGCCGTCAAATGTTTATCCACCTATGATGCTTTCACCAACACGTCATGGTTATCCAGCTCCGTATTCTGACTTACATTTATTATCGGAATATGATTTTGCTATAGCAGCAGGAAATAGTAGTCAAAATGATTATGATACATATTATGGACATACAAATGTTGAACAAAAAGATGACAGAACTAATTTTCGTAATTAAAATTTTTGTTGTTTATTTCGAAATAAAATATTCATTTGATATGTACTTTCTCATAAAGACATATACATTTCAAGTCATTTAAGAATAATTCTCTGTATCATAAGCAAATACCAATGTATTGCGATGATAAAACAAAATCAAGCATATTCGTAGATATTGGCTATATTAGTAAAAACCATTGGAAATGAATTGATGGGAAAAAGTTTCACAACAACGTATTTTTTATTTCTGTTTTTTACAATGTCAAGAAATTAGCTCGAGTTCAGATAGTGATTTTAATAACCAATAGAGTTGTATTTTACCAAGATTTCTAAAATATCGAACACAATAGTTTTCAGGTCCCAGAAAATGCTTTTTAACAATGCCATTTTAAAGAAAACAAAATGAGAGATTACCGTATGTTTTACGATCCTCCCTTAAAAAGTTAAAAGCAGGATGGACTTTAAAAAGTTATCACGAAATAATATTAATATAGTATACATGTGAAGGCGGAAGCTAATATTGTTAATGTATATATATCATAGATTACACTTACGATGTGTTCGAATATGAACGAATCATGTTTCTGATAAGAAAAAAGCGAGATTAATGTGAATTTTAAAAAAAGACAAAGAGAGCATTACACAATGTTTTCGGTAAAAGAAAACTGCATTGGTTATTAAAAACATTATCAAGATTCGAATTGATTGCTTGACATAATAGAAAAAAATACGTTGTTGTTAAACTTTTTCTCACCGCTTTAGGTACATATTCATTTAATGTTTCTATATAAAAAAGATACAATAATCTTGTATTTTATCAAACGCAACATACAAAATAAAATGTTTATAACCTTTTACAAGATTAATTTCTATTTTCCAGTTAAGTGTAAAGGTGAATAATAGAAATAGTCTAAACAAAAGTCAAAGAAAAAAGCTTTTTTCTGAATCTTAAGATTGTTCTAGAGAAATTCGATACAATGACTTCTATTAATTAATGTAGAAGAAAAAAAAAGCCGATAAAAGTCAACAGTTAAATTCATTTCTATTCTATTAAAGACAAATGCAGAACGAATCTGAAATCTTTTTACCTTCAAGACGAGACAATCTAAAACAACGACGAATTCATCATGCTCCTTGGTTGTCATCTTATTTATTCAATCTATTTGAACAAACATCTATCTATGGTTGTTTTCTATTCTTAATTTTTTCAATTGCCATAGTTGCTGGTACACTCACAACATATGATGAACATCATAAAGCGAGTGTACCGATATTAATTAATATAGAGATAATATTATTTATCTATTGTTTAATTGAATTTATTCTACGAATTTATGGATCTGAATCAAGAATACGTTATCATGGTTTTAAAGGCAAAGTTCGATTTTTTTATGAACATTATCTTATTATTGATTTTATTTTATTAATTTCATATGGGATTATATTTTTATTATATTTTATTAAATTTTATAATTATTCATCAATTGTTTTTTTACATGGTCTGCGATTTCTTCAATTATTTCGATTTATTCCATTAGATCGTTATATTAAATCAATACCTTTAATTAGTCTTATAATATGGCAATATCGTCGAATTCTTCTAGTAGCTGTCTATTCGTGTTTTTTACTTCTTCTACCAACAGCTTATTTTTTATGGATTACAGAACGATTTATTGAAACAGATGGAAAATTTTTTTTTCAAACATATACAGATTCACTATGGTTTACTATCAATTCAATGGCTACAGTAAGAAGAAAAAAGAATCAATCGAATAATCAATTGTTTGTTATGAATTCTACTTTTTTCTTTCTAGATTGGTTATGGTGAAACTTGGCCTCGAACATTTATTGGTATTAATATATTTATATATCATTATGTGAATAATTTTTGTTTTTTATTCAAAGGTCGTACTCTTACAGCAAGTTTATGTTGTATAGGTCTTATACTTTGGACACTTCCTGCTGGTATTATTTCAACTGGTTTGACATCAATTGATGAAAAACGTCGTAAATCTAAACGTCTTCTTCGACCTGCCGCACGACTAATACTTGCTTGGTGGCGTTTACAACATCTCAAAAATAAATCTCGAACTACATTTGGTAAAAATTATGCGAATGAAAAATGCAAACAATTTATTGCTCGTCTTCTCTATACTCGACTTTGTCGAGAATTTCGACGTTGTCGATATCATACTAATGATGGATATGATGTTCAAATGAGAATTGATATTGATCGAATTTTGCAATGTTTACAAATGATTGAAGAAAAATTGAATAATATCGATCAAAAAATGTTAGATTGACAAATAAGAAAATCTTTTTATTTTCAATTATATTATATGTTTTTAAAGTTCACTTTTCTGTAATTCAATTTTTTGTGCGTTTTTCCTATCCTTATATATCAATAATATTTTATATAATCGAACAGTAGAAATAGAGTAAAATAAAACGTACATAATCAATGATAAAATTTTGTGATGCTTTTTTACGTATCTCTTTCATAAACAAAAGACAGTGAGATTTTTGGAAAAGCTTAAAATTACCTGTGAAATATAGCTTTAGGTATCTACAAAAAAAAAATAAACAATCAGGATGCGGTTCTATAGAAAATCAGGGTTTCCTAGCAAACACCGACTCTCAAATTATTTTCCTTGAATATATATCTTCTTATTTTTGATGTTCTATCTTTAGTCAAATTTCCAGTTTGATTGACTGTATCATCGTCGAACACTGGAAACCGTTTAAAAGAGGAATGTCCATAGTATCAATTCGAGCATTTCAGATCTTGCGTGCGCGACATCTATTGTGAGCAATGTTAAAGTCATCTTTTTAATGTTTGAAAAAAACAAACGTAATTTATATTTTATATCAGATAAGTCTTATGACATGTGATTTTAAAAATAACATTGAGTTTCTTTATAAAAATATTATACGTGAGAAGTCTTAATGGCTTTTATACCGCAATATGGCTACTTAAAATAAGGGAGACAAAAGAAATAATAAATTAAAAATTATCTTCTTGTTGTATAGTCATTTTTTTATGAATATTTATTATCATTTTTAATAGATTTTGTTTTTTTTACAAAATGCTTCGTGTGATCTATTTATCTCGTGCTCAGCCAGCAGCACGAAATTTATTGCTTATTAACAAACGATTTCAACAAACATCTACAACTTCTTCTACTAAACCAACAAGTACTAATCCTTCATCGGCAACTAAAACGAAAACAACTTCATCATCATATCCAGCTGATAGTAATACTGGTGGAACCGTTAAAGCTATTGTTTATGGTCTTGGTCTTGGTCTTAGTATTACATTACTCTATGCTGAATATGATAATGGTTCATTTCGTCGTAAAGTTGAATCAAAGCTTCCACTTAGTTCAACAATTTTAAGTGTTCTTGATAAAATTATCGATCCTATATTTGGTCGACATAAAAAATTAACAACAATAATATCAGAAAAATTACCTGATGTATCACCTGTTACAGATAGACTACCTGATAAAGAACAAGTTAAACGAGCTGCTGAACAAGCTAAAGATACTATTAATGATACATATGATAAATTACCTGAATATAAAACTGTTAAAAGTAAAATTATTCATGCTGCTGATCAAGTAAAAACTAAGTGTTAGAAAAAAAAGATCATTAAAAAATAACAATATTTTATTATTAATAGGTCAAAGATGCAGCACATGCAGTTCGTGATGCATTACCTGATCCAAAAGCAGTAAAAAAAACTTTAACACATGCTAAAGATCAAGTTGAAGATACTGCAAAATCAATAACAAATACAGTTAAAGATGCATTACCAGCAACAAAAGGTGTATCTGGTGAGCAATCACGTCGAGGTAATGATCCTGTATTTTTAGAAGAAGCTGGTGAAGTCGCAACACCACCACCAATTAAACCGTAAGTTCAATTTGAATAAAAATACTTTTATTATTTTACTTATTTTATTACATGATTAAAACATCTTAGAATGAATATATATGAGTGAATCACATCTTTTGATATGACTGACGTGAAAAACTAAAATTAAATCTAAACAATTTTGTGAATGGTATTTTTTATTATACTTTAAACCTGACTTCAGTGTAAACATAACGTAAAAAAATATTATTTTAATGGAAAAACCAGGGTTCATCAAAGTTCTATGTGTAAAATTGTTTTTTAAATCCACGATCGATGTTTGTAATAAAAGTAGAATAAATGTTCGAACTGAAAATGATATAGGATACAATCCAAGTCGACTTACTATTGCTTGATGTCGTTCTACATTTCATCATAGAATGTAAATTTCTCGAGAATCATAAGAGATAGACGGTTGTCGTTTTTTCATTAATTTGTTCATTGTCAAATGGCTTTTCTCTTGAATACTTTTGCTTTTCATCTGGTAAGAGTCGAATTAGTCAATGACTAAATGAATTAGAAAGCTTGAATTTGATGTGAATGTTGGTCACTCAAAGAGGAGTAACATGTAATAAACTGTCCACATCAGTCAATGAGAAAAAAAAATTTCGGCAAATACAGCTAAAATTTCAATCGCATTAAAAAGTTGCAATTCATTCATATATAGAATGAATGAAATGAATTTTTGATAATTAATCTTTTCTCTTTTTGATTTATTTTAGTAAATAAAAAACTCAAAATTTCAATCGTACCATTGTCAAATATTTAATCATCTTTATATCCTATTGTATTAAACAACGACAACGACAGCAATAGAATCTTATAGTTCAATATGACTTAATCATTCAAAGAGAGTTAAATAGAAGCTTGATGCAATGTAACAACAAAATAGAATTGAAAGTGCATTAAGTACAATCGTATATTTTCAAATATCATCTCTCTTTCTGTTGTACCACAGGGCAAAGAAGTATGCTTGTGAAAGATTCAATTTGGATGCAGGGCTATGCTTATTATCTTGACAAGTGAAATAAGATGATTTTGAATGAACGAAAAAGTTCTATACTGTCGTCATCGTTTATATATTTTCCTTTTTTCTTCATTGTTTATTGTATAGTTCTCCATTTCTTTTCATGACAAATGGGACGATTTTGTATTTTTTTATTATTATTCTTTGTATTCATTCAAGCAATTATATTTAATCAAGCTATTTTATTCTTTATTTTTTTTTTTATATTTAAGCTAGCTTCTTTTTTTAGTTTTAGTCTTTTCTTTCACAAAAGGAATACATAAAGCATGTAGTTTAATTGATTGGATCATTTATTTGAACAGTGAGAAGTTTCTTGATACTATTTATAGATTGAAATTTTCATGGCGCAAAGTGTAGGTCGATCAGCAACAGCAGCATCTCGTTATGTATCGAGTATAATTGATTAGAGTCATCTATTGAAAATAAGCAGTTCTAATACATCAACAGTATCTAGTCTTCAAGCTAAATGGAGTCAAGTTGCTATGAAGTTAGTTCAAAATTTGATGAAATTTTTTTTCTTCTTAGAATGAATGTTTTATTAGATGGATTACCTAACATTGATTTTAATTATTATCAAAGAATGGTATTAGATCCAACACTTGTTGATAAACTTCAAGGAGAAGTACGAATAAATGTTTTTTTTTCGAGAGAGTGCACTAGAGTTTAGATCGACTGTGTATAGTAAGCATAGTTATGGGCTCAAAAAACCATTAACAGAGGAAGAAAGCAGATTGGTTTACTTAATCGAAATTCACCTTGTCTAACTGTTTTATGTCAAATGATAGAAGCTTGAAAATTTTACCATATATACTAGCCGTTCAGACGAATATTTTTTCGAACATCGGTCAACAACAGAAATTTCAGGAATGACAGATCTATATGTGCTGATAGAGTTCCATTATAGAACAGACTTTGAGAATCACATCGTATTTGCTGAGAGAAGTGTCAAATTGTCAAAAATTCAGAAGTAGATTTCAAACATTGCTTTGCCATTCGGTTCAGAGTTCGATAGAGAATAGTTAGACAACTTCAAAGCACTACCAAGAGTTAAAATTCTGCTTGAACTTCATAAAGACACTTGAGCCCAAAAGAACGGAAAATAGAAGAAAAAAATGTACGCTACAAAAATTGATCATCTCAACGATTAGTATCTATGGTAAAATTTTCAGATTTCTATTATTTGAAATCTAACAACTAGACAAGATGAACTTTGACTGGGTAATACAATCTACTTCATTCCTACAAAGTCGATGTAACTGTGGCACACTCTCGAAAGAATTCCTATTCAGTATCATTAATGATTATTGATTTATTTCAGTAAGAAAATGTTCAAATTGCTTATCCGACAGAGACAGCAAATCGATTTAAAGAACTTGAACAATATGCCAAGAGTGAAATAACTAAAGATGAATTGTTACATATTTTATTTGATAAAATAAAATGTTTAGGAACAACGTGCTCAAGAATTTATTAATTTAGCCGAAGGTGAAATAGAAAATTTAATAAAAGAATTTGATCGATGGGATAATGTTCCTCCGGCTGAAGAAGTAACTTATGAATTAGGTATGTTTTTTGTAAGAGAATTTAATGTAATAGATATTTATTTGTATTATTATTTAACTTGATTCTATATGGCAGAAACTGTCTATCCTCGTGTTTAGGAAAAAGATGACAATGATAAATTGAAAGATATTCAATTTTTACCTTATGGAAAATGGGATTCATTACGTTGGTGGATTAAACAAGGTAGTGAATTATTACCACATAAACATGAATGGGTGATGCCAGATGAAGCACTTGATCCTATTAATGCTCTACCATGACCTAAACAAGTACTTTCTGATGCTCATGGACATGGTGATGTTAACACAGTCGGTGCCGGAAGCAACCATTAATATATCTCATTGATTAGTCTTATTTATAATATTTCTTCGTTTTTTTTTCGCATATAGTTTTGCAGTTCAAATAAAATGTCTATATGAAAAGAAATTAAACAGCGAATTTTAGAGGGATCTAGAAAAAGCAGTCTATAAATTGATAGTAATCGAAAAAAAAAAGAAGCAAGACGTAATTCGTGAAGGAAAAATCACACCAAAGAAGTCTAATGGAATAATATTAAAAATTAATTCTTCTGAGAAATTTGAGACAAGAAAAACAACTATATTTGATTTATGTTAGGTACTACAGTTTGCTTAAAATAGTTGATTAAGTAGTAATGAGTGAACTTTTTTGAGCCATTTCTTAGGTATGTGATTAAAATGTGAAAAATGATGTAACTAATCACAGGGAAATTGTTTTATTTCATCTATTTTAGGATACATTTGCTACTTAATCTTCCGGAAATGCAATAAGAAAGTAGTTGCCAATCTAAGATCCTACTGTGAACGGACATTAATTTAGAGTTACAATACGTCTCATCTAAGGTTCACCTGAAAATTTCTAGGCGAATAACAGATTGATGTAGGCTAGTAGCAAATTGAAAAATTCATACGGTAAATCTCGAATTAGAGACTAAGTATCTTGTATTCTATGTGATTGTCGTTTATGCTAAAACAAACTTGGAAAAAGTAAAAAAGTAAATGTTACATACGCATCCTCTGTTGATGTTTTGTGTTATTTCTTTCGATTTACATACTGTATTTCGTTGAAAATAAAATTTCATACGTCATAATTAATGTCAACACTTCTTTTAGATCGTATCTCTTAAAAGTAATGTCTCGGAAAGTAGTAGGCATTCGCTTTTGCTTTCCATTATACTACTATAAAAAAATTAGAAGAACTACTCATCATTTCTGAACCAATTTTTTTAAAAATTTTGTATTAATATAAAGTTTACGACTATTACACTTGAATGAAAATTAAATTTTTGAATATTTTATATCGAATATCATTATATATAATTGTAAAATTTCAATTAAAAGTTATTTAATGTACATTTTGTATTATCCATTTATGAAGAATTTCAGCTATATGCAAATTGTTCATTTCCATCATTTGCATGTGACCATTCCCATAAATTCCAAGATCTTCAAGTCGAATAAAATCCACTTGAACTCCTGCTTGCCGTAAGAAATCAACTGTACAATGATCATAAACAGAATGATAAGAAGCTTGAGAGGTTTCTATTAAAACAGAAATATTGACGAGTTGAATTAAATTATGTGGAGGTTCTTGTTGAAGAATACACGAAGTATGATTCTCATGTGTTGATGAAATCTCAATGGTTAACAAGTCAGATGACGCATTAACAACAGGATCATATGTTAATGGAATATCTGTTAATCCCCAAGCACGAGATGAAATGTTTGTAAAAACAGCTTCTCTAAATGGAGGACCTTTCGGTTCGATAGCAACAATAGCTTTAACAAGATTGGGTCGTGCATCAGCAATAAGCCATCCAAAACTTCCACTTTGTGAATGAGTCAATAATATAGCAGCACCAATTTTATCCAGTAATGCTGTACCAGCTTTTTGCATCATCATTTGAACATTCGTTTCGTGAGCGACAAACTGAACGGTTGATGCATAGAAAGCATCGAAAATTGGATCGCCTTTACGACCTTTCGTGGTTTTATTAGTACCAGGCCATTGTGTATGTAAAACTGCTTGAGGCCATAATTGATAGAAATTAGTTGCTGTAAAACGTTCCTCCATCATTTCAGCAGAATAAGTTTTGACAGCGATGCCACTATTTGGCAACCATATGGATCGACCACGTGCTGGTTGATCAATAATATAAAGCTCATACCCTTTTTCCAAAAAGTATGAAGCCCAACCCGGTCTACCATCAGGAGTATTAAGCCAATTGGTGCCAGTCATAGCATTTCCATGAATTAAAATTAAAGGATATAGCTGTTGAATACCATATGGAGACGTTAAATGTTCAACATACATTTGACCAGTCATGACTGATCTTTTAGAAGATACATCGAATATGTATTCGCCACCGACATAAAAATATTCACGATGAATAGGAAATGAATCTTTCGTACATTTGTCGTGTTTTGATGTGACAACATCTTTAATATTGAACGAAGTAAGTAGTATAAAAGTGACTGTAGCAATTATGTATGGTAGCATTATATCTACGGCTCTAGAAGTGATTTAGACGCATTGACCCTAGATGTTGTTTTTCTCTATTTTTTGTAAGATTTTTGTGTCATTTATTGGTTAGTTTATGATACAGATAAACACACAATCACATAAGAGCCGAGCCAAACATAGTAAAACATGTCTGATACGCCATCTATTCAGATATAGACATATTCTTTTTATCATATAGTTAAGGATTATAATTCAAATTGGAAATCATATACTTCTTTCTCACTTTATGTATTAAAATAGTCTTATTTAACGAGGGTGTCAGTCAACAAACGATTCACATCCGCATTTACATCCAAAATATGTCAAACTTATGTAAGGCAGAAAAATGGTGTTTTATTTTGTACATAATTATTTTTTCAATTATTCTGGATAATTTAAACAGAATTGTATTTGCGAATTTAAGGAACTAAAATATTCATGGTTTGACTTTTCAGACACTCTATCCATGGAATACTAAGAATCGTTTTCATCTTGGAAATGAGAGTGCGTATTAGTAAAGAGACGACCCACATCCAAATCTTCTCATATAATTCCAGCTCAACAAACATAAGAATATGATAATCAATTATTCGAAATTAATGAAAAAAAAAATTTTGTCAGTTCATTAATAAATCTCAACATAATCTTTATTTTTTAATTACGTTCCGTATACAGTAAGTTCATGTATTTTAGTACATTTTAAATAATTTTTTCAGCAAAAAATTAGTTTCACTGATCATGTTACTAAGTACTTCATTATAGATCTCAAATAAGCGATTACAACAAATAATTAGATAGCAGTAATGCAGTGCAAAATTACGAATGTTGATTATTGAAAAAAACCAATATGTCATAAGAAACGAATAAGCATTTTTTGTGATTTATCACGAATCGCTTTTTCCCAAACGATATTAACATTGTACTGGAATTAGGGTTTTTTGGTCGCACTGTAAATCTTAAAGTTTAGGTTTCGTCCAGTCAGCTGATCGAAGTCTGAAAGAACTTAAAAAGTAGCCATGTCGAAATTCATTATTAAAAGAACTCTATTAACAGNTTAATTGACATTGAATACCATCAACTTCGTAAACAGATAAATTTGTTCGTAACATTTCAACATGTTTTTCATCAAGTTTTTCCATTTTTTCACCCTAGGAAAAAATAAGAAATTTTAGAATTTTAAATTCATATTCATATAATATTTACTCGATTATTAACAAATAACATATCAAGACGATATTGAATTAAATCACGTAATTTATTACTTCGATCTGACGTAACAATGTTTCCTAGAAACAATAAAATTCAATTCTATTATTTATTTGAAAATTAAAAAATGAAATTTTTATTTTTCACCTTTATGTACTAATGTTCGTTTTACACATTCTGATAACCATGAAGCACCAAATTTTTCATATAATTTTGTTAATTCGGGTTCATCAGGTGGTAATAATGGTCGAAGATCTATAGCACATTGATGATCATCATCAAGATAAATTTCATTTGGTGGTACAATTTTTAATATACATTTTTTTTCACTATTGGAACATTTTTCAATAACTTGATAACCTAAACACCAAGCTTCATTTTTTAATCTTTTTGTTAATGTTGCTGATTGTAATTCATTTGTTGTATTAGCTGCAATAGCAAGTTGTTGAAGACAACTTTTATAAGCAAGTGATTTTTGTTCTAAATCATCTGGGTTATTTTGATTTAGATTTGAAAAATAATTTGCTTGTCGATCCATTAATAATTCAGCTAAAATGCTTGCAGATGGATGATGAAGTACACCAATATCAAGAAGAAAAGCATTTCCTTCAAAACCATAATCAATATAATCAATTAAACCACTTTTATCTGTATCATCCATAATTGATGGAGTCGATGATATTGTTTTTATTTTTTTATTTTTTGATGTTGTTGTTTTAGTATTATTTCGTTTTCGACGAAGACTACGACTACCAATGATTCGTGTTATTTCATCATCATCATCTTCAGATGTATCTGAAAGTATAACATGTGTTTGTCGTAATCTTGATGATGATGTTGTTGTTGAAATATCAGGACGAATAAAAACTTGTGATGGTTTCATATAATTGTTACTTCCTTTAAGAGGAATAAAAGCAAGTTTGGATACACGTTCAATTAATGCTCGACTTAGACCATCAAGTTCATTCATATAAGCAAATATTTTTTGAGCTGTTTCTACATTGAGTATTTCTTCTTTTTTTCTCATTAAAATATCAAAAGCTGTTGTTAATGTTGGACTATCTTTAACACCAAGTAATGATATATTAAAATGTTTTTCAAATAATTGAACAACATTGGGTAATAATGCTGCACATAATGGACCTTTATCTAATTAGACAAAATATAATAAATAAAGACAAAAAGAATTTAAAATAATTAAAACCTTTAAAAACTTCTTCGGGTAATGATAATATAATAGTTTTTGATAGTGAAATTGATGGAAGAAAAGGTCGTTTAATTCTAGCTGCTTTCCATAATTTTGAATAATATTGTTGAAAATTTTCAGCCAAAAATCCAAGTGCTATTGGTAATTTATATTCATTGTTTGATTTTTTCTTTTGTTCATTATGTTCTTCAATAATTCGATCTATTAATTTTTGTAAATCAGGTACTTCACGTACGCCAATTTCTTTTAGAAATGCATATTCACTTGAACGTGGATCAATATCATGCCAATCAATAATTGGTAATGTCGACCATTGAAGTTGAATAGCAACAGATGGAAAATGAAGATTTTGTGGAGCATATTTTCGTGTACTTTCTTTGCTTGATATAAGAGTTGTACCTTGAAAATAAATGAAAGATTTTTGAGAATTTGTTTGTCAACTATCATTCTATCGATATATCGAAAATATCAATATTCTACTGCAGTGATTATTTCATCACTGACTCTTCTGGCATTGCTATAGAATAGAAGGAGTTTATATATAACAATAGAATTTTTTGTACTGTAATTAGACACGAGCAGAGCCATTATTTTTTCTTTTGTGTCTTGGTTTCAAGTCAAACTAAGGAATTCGAAATATGAGTAATTCATTGCAAGTCCAGACTGAGAGATTCGTTTTTTAAAGATATTTCAAATTGATATGAGAATTTCATAATACCAGAACTATTTGTATCTATCTTTTTATTCAATCATTAGATTCTTCAAGATGAAAGTTGTCAGAATCTTGTTAAAATTTATTAACTACATTAAGATCATACTAAATTCAATTTGCTCTAAATACTGAGTAGCATTTAATTGAGTAAAATAGAAGTTCTGTAACTGAATAAATGTCTCTTGAAACTTTAAAAATGACATCTAGTTATGCATCAATCGATGATTTTGTAATTGTTTTTGAGATATTAGAAGGAAATATTCTTTTGAGCTGATGGCTGAACAGAAGATCTAAGAGGATTTATGCTTTTGAGGTTTTTCATATCTTACTGGATTTTTGTCTCATGTATAGAGTCTGATTACAAAATCAATTAATCAGTTGACAATGTTGCCTCATTAGAGTTTTTTCTTCTTGAAAGCATAACAATCATTTATCGTTATAAATCTATTCTCAAAATCCCTATCTATGAATCTAATATTCTCTCTTTGAATTCATATCCTACAGAAAATAGATCTTTACTGAAACAGAACTCTGATCACATGACGAGAAAATATCTCTTTTAGATTTAGTAGCTAATAGATAATTGTTTAAACTTGCCTCTAAGACATTCATTTTGTTTCAATGCATTAAAATCTCCTTCACTCATATTATCTCGTTCTTCCATTAAATGTTGAATTAAGGTTTTCATCGTATGTGAATTTGATGTAGTTGAATTTGTTAATGATGATGGTGCATGTACAAATGATTGTACATTTAATGTTCGACAACCTAAACGTTTAAGAAATTCAGCTGATACAAAATTTTCCATATTTTCTATTATTGATTGTTTATCATCATCATCATTGTCATCATCAGTTAAATTTTGTGGTACATTTAATGTTGTAATTGGTAAATCTGATGATAAAATTGATGATGGAATATATGATTCATTAGGAATTTTCATTCCTTGATTTGTTGGTATACATGTTATTGTTGATAATGTTGTTTTTAATTTATTCCATTCAGTTTTATTTAATTGTCCTGAATGTTTTGAAATAATATGTAATAAACATGTTGATGTATTTTCTTTTGTAAATAAATATAATTGATTTTTAAGTAAATAATAATGAAGAAAATCTTTTAATGTTAATGGTGTTAATTGTAATTGTTTTTGTAATTCTTCTCGTGATAAATAAGTAGCTACACTTGCTGGTAAAACATGTGATGGTAATGGAAGTATTGTTGAAATATTAAAATTATCATAGTTTATTAAATTTTTTAATGTTATTATTGGTGAATTATTTTTTTCACGAAAACGTACTATTGATAATAAACGTTGTATATATTGTTTATCATCATGATTTTGACTAGATAACCAATGCAGAAATTCAACAAATTGATTTGATAAAAGTATTGTTGTTATTATTGTTAATTCAATTAATGCATTATTAACTTCAATAATTAAATTACGATCTTTTAATGCTTGAAATAAACCATTTTTACTTAATTCATATGGTACAAGTGGTAATGAAAGAAAGGAATGTATATGTTTGGAATTAGCTATATATGCTTGTTTTGATGGAATAAGTGAAAGATTAACATCTGTTGGAAATCGTTTAACAGGAACAAGTAAATCTTTATCCGAGGAAAAAAATCCATCGACAAGAATCGAACCTGAAAAAAGAACAAAAAAAGTTTTAGCATTGTCTTATAGAAAGTTGTTTTTTTTCTTCTGCAATTAATGCGACATTAGATCATTCTACTTCGGATAATATCCAATTACTATAAAAAAAAATAAAGCGTATATGCTGCGATAGTTCGCATGATAAACATCTAAATCTGTCTTTCCATTGAAAGAGACGCATTTTCATTTCTTATTAGTACTTTAAAAAA